GATTTCAATGAAACGTTCCATCAGAACTTCACAAAAATCATTTATCTTCATTTATGTGCCTATTTATTAGGTCACCTGAGTCAATCAGGTGACCTATTGCTATCTGTTTTCATCCGTCGTGCGTCGTGTGTTAACATTTGAACATTTTCAGCTTCTTCTCTGAAACCGCTGAACCAATTTCAGCCAATTTTTGCATATGGCATCTATGTGTGAAGGGGAACAAAATTTTTGAATTTCATGGTCCCTGCCCCCCTGGGGCCTGAGGGGTGGGGCTAAAACCATCAAAATTAATGCAATCTTTAAAAATCTTCTTCTTTACTCCTGGACATCAAGCAGTCAAACTGTTGACGTGATTGTAATAATCATTGAGCCCTCTACCAAAATTGTGAAATTCATGGCCCCAGGGTCAGGGGTTCTGGTGCTAGGGCGGGGCTATATAGATCATATAGTGAAAGTGCATTATTTCTTTGAAAATCTTCTTCTCTACTCCTGGGTAGTATTGAAACAAATTGAATACATAGTTATGATAAGCAAGGGTGACTCTACCAAAATTGTGAAATTCATGGCCCCAGGGTCAGGGGTTCTGGTGCTAGGGTGGGGCTATATAGATCGTATAGTGAAAGTGCATTATTTCTTTGAAAATCTTCTTCTCTACTCCTTGGTATTATTTAAACAAATTAGATACAGAGTTATGATCAGCAAGGGTGACTCTACCAAAATTGTGAAATTCATGGCCCCAGGGTCAGGGGTTCTGGTGCTGGTGGGGGGGGGGGGTATATAGATCATATAGTGAAAGTGCATTATTTCTTTAAAAATCTTCTTCTCTACTCCTTGGTATTATTGAACAAATTAAATACATAGTTATGATAAGCAAGAGTGACACTACCAAAATTGTGAAATTCATAGCCCCAGGGTAAGGGGTTCTGGTGCTTGGGGGGGGGGGGGCTATATAGATCATATAGTGAAAGTGCATTATTTCTTTAAAAATCTTCTTCTCTACTCCTGGGTATTATTTAAACAAATTAAATACATAGTTATGATAAGCAAGAGTAACTCTACCAAAATTGTGAATTTCATGGCCCTTGGGTCAGGGGTTCTGATGTTAGGGCAAGGCTCTATTTATTTTATAGTGAAAATGCATTAATGCTTTAAAAATCTTCTTCTCTGCTTCTGGGTATTATTTAAACAAATTAAGTACATTGTTATGATAAGCAAGGACACCTCTTCCAAAATTGTGAAATTCATGGCCCCAGGGACAGGGGTTCTTGTGCTAGGGTGGGGCTATATAGTTCCTACAGTGAAGGTGAATTATTTCTTTGAAAATCTTCTTCTCTGCCCCTGGGTACTATTTAAACAAACTAAGTACATCGTTATGATATGCAAGGATGCCTCTTCCAAAATTGTGAATTTCATGGGCCCAGGGTCAAGGGTTCTGGTCAAAAGGTTGGGGGGGGGGGGGGGCTCTATTGATTATATAGTGAAAAATCAAAATTTCTTTAAAAATATTCTTTTCTGCTTCTGGTTAAAAAGCAAAGAAGCTAAGTATATAGTTATGATGAGCAAGAGTGCTTCTTCCAGAGTAGTGAATTGCATGACCCCTGGGTCAGATGTGCTGGTATAAGGGTGGGGCTGTTGATAATGTAGTGAAAATGCATTAATTCTATTAAATAATCCTGTCTGCTCCTTAATGTTAAGCAGTTAAACAAAGTGATTACTTATGATGAGCAAACTTGAAACTTCTGGTCCCAGGGTGAGAGGCTCTGGTGTTTCTCGGTGGTGAAGGGGGGGGGGGGGGGGGGGGGGGAGGGGCTCTATTAATAATATAATAGTGAATCTGTAGTGAAAATGCATTATTTCTTTAAAAATCTTCTCTGCACTTGGGCATATCAGAGGCAAAAAGTGTAAAAGTTGTAATAAGGAAGGGTATTTTTACCAGATTTTTGAACATCTGGACCATTTGGTCAAGTGTTCTGGTCCTAGCCAGGGCTCAATTAATTTGCATTCTACTGAGAGGAGTTATTCCCCTTTGCCATTTACTTTTGATAATTAATCATTGTAAATAATGTACTTGAAAAATTAATAGAATAAGAGAATTATGCAAGAATTTTTATTGTATAATACAAAAAGTATTTTCATAGTTTTAATGATCATGTGGACTTGTAAGTAATAGATAAATAAAAATGAGACAAAAATAACTTGTCTTATTAAATGTTCATCAAAGACCAAGAGAGGCCAATGTAAGAGATTACAACAAGGAATTAAAATAGTACAAAAGCACTGATAGTTTGTTAATATACTATATGGTGATAGTGATAAATGGGGAACAGATTAGAACCTAATTTATAAACTGTTAATGAATAGTAGACTAATTATTTTGTTGATCCTGATCACCCTATTTTTCTTGCTTTTGGGCAACAAAGCTTCATCTTTCATTTCATTTTAATACTCTATGGATCCTCTAAATTGTTGTATTGTACTCAGGTGACCGTTAAGGCCCTTGGGCCTCTTGTTGTCAAAATATTAACAGTGATCTAAAAGTCCTTTGGGCTGGGTGTAAGAAACTAAGTTTATTGTTGTAAAATACAGTGTATAATTGTATCAATACACAATATGTCACTATAATAAATAATTTACTTACTTACTTACACACAAGTAGACTCAATAAGATACGTAAATCTCTATGTGATGAATGATGTTGCCATGGTTACTAAAAATGGAAATACATGTATATGTGAAATTCTTTCAAAATGCTACACCTTTTACACTGATTTTTAAACTGATTTCGATAAAACTTTTACACAGAAGTAGACTTGTCTAAGATGCATAATTCTGTGCATCAGGTTTTGATTGTGATCAGTGGTGTTGCCATGGTCATTAGAAATAGAAATTTTTGTGAAATTCTGTCAAAACACTACTCTTCCGACACTGGTTAAATCTGATTTCAATAAAACTTTTTCTATATTAAATAGCCTTCACTAAGATACATTATTCTGTTAATTTTAATGGTTTTGCCATGGTGATTGAACAAAATTTCTGTGAAATTCTTTCAAAAGGGTACTCCTCCTACAGATTTAGTCAGATTTCATGATCAATAATACTTGCCATACAAAGAGACTAAATGAAGGATCATTATTTTATTTATTGCTGTTGTCAAAGTGCTACCTTTGTCTTAATTGTTATAAACTTGTACAAACCAGTAGAGCTACAGTTTCATCTGAGACTTCTGGCTATTTTGAGTATGATAACATTGCAAATATGTTTTATAACTGCCTGCCCTCATAAATTAGCCTGATCAAGGAATAGAATTTTACTTTCTCTGCAGTAAATTGAAAATCTTTTGGGTTAAGTTGTTCATATTGGTAACATGGGTTGTTCTAGTGAAGGGATCAACTGTCAAAGGTTGGTTTTTGAACTTAAGGGGTTGAAGGATAACTTAAACCAGCTAGGGTTTTGTGCAACAAATTGAAAATATTTTATGTAAGGTCAGCATGCATGCATTGGTTCTGATGGAGAGCTTGACTGATTTTTTTTTATGGTCAAGGGGGAAGGTCTCTGTTGTTAAAAATGGAGGTCATAATATTTGGAATTGCTTTTGGAAACATAAGGCCAAAAGGCATGGCATCAGTATTACTGAAAATAGAACAACAGCTTGATAATGGTTAAGGTTGGATTGTTACATTTACAATGGGGGGGGGGGGGGGTTCTGATCAAGGCCTTCCCTGGATCTGGGTCTAGGTCTTATTTATAAATTGGAGAAAATGGGAAAAAAAGGTACTGAATGTATAAACTTGATAAAAAGTGTACTCTTGACCAAAATGTATAATCAAACCGGGACACTTTGACAACGTTAAAATTACTGGGATTTTCAGCTGTATTCAAAGAATACAATTATTGTCTTAGCCTGGCTTTATAGATGAGACAGAGAAACATAAGAAATTTATAACATATGGGACTTATATGAAGGAAATATTAATAAAAAGAAATGTGGACTGATTCTCAGGTGACTGCTTAAGCCTTATATTTACTTTTTTTGATTAACAGCAAGAATTATGTGATCTCTTTAGGCAAATACAAGCTGATGTTCTACAATATTTTACAAACTTTAGATATTTCTTTTTGATGCTGACAGGTTGTTGCATGCCTAGGAGACCTCTATAAGCTGGATTTAGCTCAATCAAAAGAGATCTAAAATACAATTTTCTAGTGATATCAAGGGACTCAGCAATCCATTTAGTGCTTTTATCACTGCAATTTAGAGATAGCATTATGATTCTACAAAAAACGCCTTCCATTCAGAATTCTTCCTAATGTGACTGACGTGACTAAAATCATGTTATAAAGAATTTCTTATCAAAGTTCTTTATGCACTGTGCATTTTAAATCTTCATCACATCTGCAATGAACATCAGCACACTTCATGGAAGCTTTCACACCATTAGGGTTCATAGGATGGTAATTACACACAAGGTGCATCTGTTGATTGTGTGGTTTACCATCATGATTACTGGAGTCACCTATATATATATCAATAATTATTAAGCTTTGATGAAGCTAAAAAAGTCTTCATGCTTTCAAAAATTGATGCTCGTTGTCTCTATAAATACATGAATCCTTTTGAAATTTACCTGTAAAAATAGCTTCCAATGGTTCATTTGGGAACCAATTATTGAATCAGTGGGGAAAATTGTCATTGATTTGCCTGAAATATTTGATCTTAATAGTTATGTAAGTTCATGTTAAAATTAGATAGGGTAAACGCAAAATCACTGCAGAAAGACATATTGATTTGAGCATATCTAAGGCTCTCGATCATTATACACGATAACAGGGGCACAGTGTACTCTCAGCAATGCATATATAATGTAGTTTGAAATGGTGTAATTGAAGCCTCTTTAGCATGTGAAGAGTTTTTTCACTGGGAAAGTGAATGGATGCAGGGATATGTTAAAATGAAATGCCGTCATTAACTCTGGACATGATTGATTTATTTGTCCATTCTAAGTATTGACATCGGTGCTAATATGTTTGTATCAAATGTCAAACCTCTGCCTGATATTATATATTTTCTTCATGATTGGGAATGGTTCTGAGAGTGTAGTAAGGACAGTTGATTATAAATAAGGAGGTACTACATAATCAATGTCAAGTAAGAATTTTATCAGTGAGAAAAAATAACACAGGCTTGGTGGATATAATTAATGCCACTGTACAGCTCTCATACGAAGTGAGCTGTCACCATTTTATGTGGCAATCCAGTGGACTGGTGTTGGTCAGTTATCTGTATATGTCTCTTTTACTTTACAGGTATAATGGGATCCCTTCCCACTGCAGGAAATGGACAAATGCCACAGATGGATAACTGAGAGATATTGCTGATTAAGTTGGACTATTACATCAGAAACCTCCTTGTTTTCTTTGAGGATTCTCAAGGATGCAACATCACTGAAGAATTGATAATGGCTCCACTATAAATGTATGGAAAAGGTGAAAAATAACATTGTTAACAGGTGGTGTCTATACAAGGACATGGGGGAGATTTCTAAGCATGTTCTCTAGAAGGTGTACTCAAATGAAGAATTCCAAGAAGTGTGTGGCCATAATACTGTGCCTGGGCACAGTAATTGTGTTTTATGGAATGTTCCAATGCAGTGGTTCACCAAAGATGTACATGGTCCCTAGAGAGTCTGTCAAGTATGTGTATGATGATAAGAACAAAGCTATACCATACGACCAGGATTCCCCACTCATATTCATTGGGGGTATGCCACGTAGTGGTACCACCCTGATGAGGGTTATGATGGATGCTCACCCTGACGTGAGGTGTGGGGAGGAGACCCGTGTAATCCCCCGAATCCTGGGGATGAGGAATCACTGGCAAAAATCAGAAATTGAGAGGAAGAGACTTGTAGAGGCAGGCATCAATGATGCTGTTATAGATTCTGCTGTGTCTGCTTTCATTTTAGAAATCATTGCCAAGCATGGTGACGCAGCCCCTAGACTTTGTAACAAAGACCCCTTCACATTGAAATCCAGTTTGTATCTCAGTAGATTATTCCCCAACTCCAAATTCATTCTCATGATCAGGGATGGCAGGGCCATCATTCATTCTGTCATAACAAGAAAAGTTACAATCTCAGGTTTTGATCTGAAAAATCCCAAAATGTGTTTAGAGAAATGGAACACTGCTATGGAAGTGATGTATTCTCAGTGCTTACGGATAGGACCTATACGGTGTATGCCGGTTTACTATGAACAACTTGCTTTACATCCAGACCTCTGGATGCACAGAATTCTGGAGTTTTTAGACTTACCCTGGAACAGTTCAGTGCTCCATCATGAGGACTACATAGGGAAGCCAGGAGGGGCATCCTTATCAAAGTAAGTATACATATCCCTGACTAAAGAAAAAGGAAGAATGCAACCACTCCCCCCCCTTTAACTTTATAGAGGATGTGGTTCAGTACAATATATCATGATATATTGAACTAAGTATATACATAAATTAATTTTCATGTTACAAGAAACAAATTGTGCACATTCACAAGAATTCTGGATCTTAAGATGTTCAAACAAGGCAAAATAGCCAGTCAGATAGAAAATAAATTATGTTAGGTACAGTCAAACCTCATCAAAAAAACTAAATGGGACTGAGAAAAAACTTCGATATATCTGAGGATTTGAGATATTCAGGGTAAAAAAACTGAAAAAAATAAGGGTTTGAGACTTACAAATCACTTTGACATATCCATGGTATTAGAGATATCAGTGTATGAGATTCAGATACCGAAGTTCAACTGTATTTTTCCTAAAAGTCCTTTGAAATTGTTATCTATACAGTAGTTTTTAGTGGTTTTTTAGAGATCAAGATTTTATTGTATCCATAACCTTACCATTACTGAGACTATGGCTTCCTTGTGCCGTTTAAGGGCCATTTGGCCCCTCATTCAACTCAGAATTATGAAATATTGTAATTAAGAATCTAAATGATGCTTAGCTCGCATCAATAATGATTTGTACATGGGTGCCAGAAAGGTGGTAGCTTAATACAGTTTTCAAAATTTCCCCCATTTTCATGAATTTTAAATAATCTTTGCTTTTGAAAACAGTGCAAGCAAGCCTTTACCTTTGAATCACATGTAAGATGTACGTGTCTGCTGATGCTATTACAGCAAAGAAGTAAATTTGGAAGATAGGCTAGGCATGCTATTCTTGTTTTCTGAAACAAAATCAGGAATGTACTTTCAAAAAATTATCAAAGGCCAATAAAAAATGTGGAAAATTGGATATTGAACAAGTTTGTGATTTGCCTGTAACCTCTTTGAGTGGGACCACTTAAGATTAATTCTAAATATGAAAGGCTTAAACATAGTTGTTAGTTTGTGAACCAATGTTGTGAGTGCCATCCAAAAAAAAAAGAGCTTGATAAAGTTAATTCTTTGGTTGATGCTACAAAAGCTCTATTGCCATGACCATGAGTAAATGCAGCTAAGTGATTATCAATTTTGCACTGCTGAAACGTTTTTCAAATCAGTGTGAACAATTATGAAAATGATGTTGATGAAGTTTTTAAAAAATCATATCTATAATGCAATAAGGATAGCTTGTGAAGTTCATTGTAGTGAGTGTCTTCTTGGTGAAATGCATATCTAGAGCTAGGAAGAAATATAAAACACCTAGAATATATATTTGTTGATGAATTTTTCAACTTTTATAACTTAATAACTTTTTTTAGAAATATCTATTATCTATTTTTTAACCAGTAATTGTACAAGTTAGTATTTTGAAAAACTTGTTTCTGTATTCACCCATGCTCTGCTTCTATCATCATCTCATCACTTTAACTCAAAATCGTAACCTTTGCCCCTATGTTTGAATTTATATTTCATGATTCATCCATCTACAGCTGAACTTTGGTATCTCAACACCGATAATACCATGGATATGTTGAAGTGATATTTCACCCTTGATATCTCAAATTCTTGGATATCTTGAAGTTTTTTCTCACTCCAGTCGAGCTTGAGATAAGAAGGTTTGACTGTACATGTATTTTTTGGAGAGGGAGGAAAAGGAGAGAGAAGAAGGATGGGAGAGGTAAAGGAGGGAGAAAAGGGGCAGGAGATGGAGAGAAGAGGGGTGGGAGATGTGAAGAAGGGGGAGAGATATGAGGAGGGAGAAGAGATCCCTCTGTCCATACCAAAACAAATCAAGCAATTTCATTTTATAATAATAGTGTTCCAGTTCATCATTTCTCTCCTTATCTTTTTGCCAACTTTTGGCCTCTCTTCTTTTATCTTGTCCTTTTGAATGCAATGGCAGTATGGTGAAGGTCATAAATCAATTTGACCAGTGGCTATTTCTGTTTTTTATGGTCTGTTAATCACATCATGTACACTTTTATTGCTAATATGCCCTCAGATCTAATTATGGAAGATACCAACATTTTTTTATGGACATCATTACAGCATTGGGGAATTACCTATTTCATAGTGGTTTAGTTTTCCTAGATTTGGGGAGGGGAAGAGGTACCCTTTAACCATAAATTAAAAATCGTTGTTATCATTTCATAAGAGATGTTCACCCAGGAAATTACAAATGTACATGATTCTCAATAAACCCTTCAGTTCTTAATTAATAATTAATAAAATTGGCATCACGATTTTAGAGTAAACATACTATAAAATGCTATAGTTTATTATACATTGTAACAATGCAATTGTGGTAAAGTAAGAGTATAAGTCAGGTAAACTTGTATCATAAAAGATGCAACTAAATTGTTTAAGAATTTCAAAAATATAATTTTGATGTCCCCATAATTGAAGATTCAAGGGCATATAGTTTTTGCATGTGCAGGTTAAGAAGGTATGGAGTATAGTGACAATGGGACACATTAATGTGCCAAAATCATGTTTGAAATGAGGTAATGCCACCAAATTATTTCAGGTATGGTGTATTTGCAGGAGAGATAGTTATTCCTTAACTTCGAGTCAGTGAGTGCAAGTTGTAGTGCCGATAGCTAAAATTTCATCCAAGGCAGATGAAATGATTATTATGTAACTTAACATGAAAAGGTTTATGCCTGGAGCTTTCTTTCATTTATTTGAATTTTCCTAGCTGACTGCACCAGTAAACAAAGTGCTGTTGAAGGATGATTTAAGTTTGTATTTAATAAACTATTTGCATTTATTTTTGATGTGGTTAACATTTTGAGAGTCTGTATGGTTGGAAGTTGTCTGGAATAACAATATAAAACAGTGCAGATGATTTGAAAAATATTTTCTTTATCAAAGGATATATTCATATGGTAGCTTAAGGTTACATTTTTGTTTCATTTTTTTTTTCTTTTTTAGTTTTCCTTTTGGGGGAGGGGGAGGAGGATTGAGGAATATCAAAATGCGTTGGCAATGTATATTTATTAACTTTGCATGTACCTTTATACATGCTTGTCTTTGAGACTTTCAATATCTAAAAGAAGACAAGGCAATGCACGCTATAGCAGATTACATTTCACTGTGAATTATTATAAGAAGTGTGATATTCAGGCAAGAATGAGCTACTAAGCAGATTTCACTGAGATTATGAAAGTACAACCTCAGTCCATATTGATCAACAATTTCAAATTTTTACAAATGGAAGAATTATGAGTAATGACAATGATTGATTCTTCTAATAGCAAGTAAATATATGTTACATTTTCTGTGGCGCTGGTTTTCATCTCCTATATGTGTCATGTTTGTATAAGGAGGACAATGTTTCATCATCTGTTTGAAAGAAACAATAGTTTACTGCATTCCAAATTTGTCTATGACTTTGATGGATTTGAAATCAGATCATAATTGTTCTGAAAATCTGAGTGGGCAAAGCAATATCGCAGCAGTATCGCTCTTGTACAATGAAGCAACAAAATAAAATGTCAAGCAATTGATCATCTGGTGTGTCCTTTGTAGAGGAAATTTCTAATCTTTGCTAAATATCTCATTTCAGAACAGAGAAATCAACAGACCAAGTGATCAAACCAGTCAACATAGAGGCATTGAGTAAGTGGGTGGGATTTTACTCAAATGACATATTAGAAAACATGGCCAAAATTGCTCCCATGTTACACACCCTAGGATATGACCCAACCAAAAACCCACCAGACTACGGCAAACCTGACCCCAAAGTGGCGGACAACACGATGCACATTAAACAGAACATGGAATACTGGAAAGAAAAAGAGCAGGAAATTCTGGCCAAGGAGAAAAAAACTGGACATCATCAACCTCACTGATGTCGATAGCCGTAGGGAAATAAAGAAATGTAATAAAAAATGTCCAAATAACACATTTCCGTGAAATTTGTTCATGTACAGGGAATTTGATAGGGCACAAATGTTATAATATTGGTTACATTGATTATTGATCAGGTTACATATATATATCTTTGTTTTCGTTTCTGGGTTGTTGTTTTTTTTTTTTAGAGAAGTGATTATTATTGGTTTTTGTGTTCACTGATATCCTAGAAAATGAAAAATTGGTAATAAACTTGAAGTAAAAATCTACCGATGCAATTACATTTAAAGAACATACCATAAATGTATTTTAAGTGAATATTTTAATGACTCAGCTGTTTTTATGAGATGATTTTTCAGTACAGGGAAAAAAATTAAGTATAATAAACATTAGATAAATGTATAATTTAGATTTTATTATGTAGTGTATGTACAAATATTGACAATGAACATCTAAATGTGATGCACGTTGCATGTTTTTTTTTTTTCTGTTTTTTATAAAAAAAATTTTTTTAGCAAAAAGAGTTGTACATGATCATAAAATGTAGCCTAGAAAATTTTTTTTTTTCCTCAATTCAGTGTAATGAGGATAAATAGTACATGTATTAGCATACAGTAAAACATGGTTACAGCGAACACACTTATTATAATGAATCTACACTTACAGCAAGTTTTAAAACATGTTTAAACATTTTATAAACTTAAAGGATATAACAAATTACATTTACCGGTATAATGGATCAAAATTGTTGTCCCTGTCACTTCTTTATAAGCGCAGGTTTTACTGTATATGCATTGTACAAATGAAAGTTTTAGATTCTTTGCTTTTCATGCATGGTGTCTGATAATCTCAATAGTATACATGTAATTTGTATTCTGATAAGGGTGGGCAGGATTCTGGATGTGATAAAATTGTACACCTAATGTTGTCCTGATTCAGTGTTCAGTATCAGTGTATATAGTGCTGATGCAGTGTATTGTGTTCTGTGTACACTAAATCATGTACACCTTTATGTGCTGATTCAGTGTTAATGGTGTACGTCAAACAGAGTACACCCAAATATGCTGACTTATTGTTTCTTTGTTTTTAGACCAATACATGTACACCTAGATGTGCCTACTGTAACGTTTTTGAGTGACTTATGGTCTCTCAATGTTTGCCCCGTCTTTCTCCACAAAGCTATTGAATTTTTTTGCTGATGTTACTATCACTGCTTTAAATATCTGTAGACTGTGCCATTTTCTTACAGTAGACATAATATCTCAGCCAGATAATGAATACATCAAGTGTTAAATCTGAATATGATTGACTGACTATACATCCACAAACATACTGCATTCAATTGTTACCTATATATAATCTGTATATCAAAGATTTTTATAACCAAGTACAACAAATTAAATGATCTGTAATTTCATATTGTCAGGTTTGTAGAATCATCAATACACTGGTAATACCTTAAATATTGATGGATTAATTCCTGGTTAGATTCCCCAGAGGTGTTCAGAGTACCTTTATTGTTCTATAGCTGATTTGACCGACATTCTATACAAGTGAACTTAGACTGTTATATATTCAATTGGGATGTGATACATATACCGGTACTAATGAAAGAAAAGGAATAAGAACTCATCAAATATTTATGGCTGATTTAATAATGAAGTATTGATTTGGATAAGCAGAATCTTTGATTGTTTTCAGAAGACAATTGTGGTATGGATATATGACCCCCAACAATGGTGGACTTATTACTATACATTGCATACATACCAATAATATGATGACCAGTGTACATATATTCATGTGTACTTTTCATCTTTTACATCAAAAAAGTGTACATAATTGGTCAATTGTATGTAAGTCATTCAGTGTCATGTAGGCTCTGTGCAATATATGCTAGTTAAATTTGCATGGAGGAGTTTATTTATGGAGAGTGCATTATTGATGAGTGGATATTTTAGTGTTTTCTAGTCATTTTTGATAGTTATACTAGCTGTAGGTGCTGTTTGGTACAGTCATAGATTTGATTTTCCAAACATAACAAAGGACCAATATACAATTTGTAAAAGTTGAGGCATGTTCAGTTCCCAACGTCCTCAAAAGATGCCAAACATTTTTATTGAGGATATTTAAGAGTCAGATTTCATGAATAATGAAGACTTATTTTGAAACATTTCATTTCATCATTTGGTGTTTAAATTTGCATTTTTTATGATTTTTTTTTCTTTTTTAATTTCATCATCAAAAGTGAGTATAACATACAAATATTATGACCTGTTATTTAACTCTGAACTAAAGGAATGTCAAAAGATAACAGAAAACTTGACACCAACAGCCAGCCACCCTTTTACCTCACATCATGATGATCATGATGATTCTGTAAACTTGTGGTAAACTCTGACAACCCAGCCTATATAAGATTGTATGGGATTTGTAATACTGATTTGATTTGAAGATTTAATTTTTTAAGATAATGTTTCAACGAACAATTAAAACGTTTGGTATATTAGGATATTCTCTTTTTTATGAATTAAGTTTTTAATTCTTTGACATGATCAATTGTTACCTGATTTACAGTGTACCAAAGAAATATGTTAAGAGTCCAAAGTTTGAATGTCACAAAAAAGGTTGTTTATTAAATTTTAAATCCGAATTGTATGTTTATGTACCAAATGTACCAAATTTTTATCATGACCAAATTCATGTATACTGCAGTACACAACCTCACTGACTGTTGTATGAATCTGTATTGGACTATCCTTTTCCTTATTAAACATATATTTTTAATTGACTGTTGATGCTTTATTTTGTAATAATTAATTGTTTTACAAGGTCAAGTTAATTTTTTTTATTTTACTTATAGCTATGGATTATCTATTTTGATTCTGTTGTATCTTAACAATTTTTTTCCTCAAAGAGAAACAAGTTTGACACAATACAGGATAACAGGGGGTGACTACTGTGCAGCTCTTGTGTATTACATATATATGATAAAAAAAAAGTACCAAAGCAGGACATTTAGACCTCTTTGATCAATTTTACTTTATCAAAATTACAAATACCTACAGCACATTTAGCAAAGAATGCAAATACACAGGGTATTATTAATTTTGAAAAGTCCAATCTGTATACTTGTATATTTAGTTTTTCTATGTACTGTATTAAAATTTTATGTCAAGGTTTGCACTTGCAGCTGGTTATTAATTTTTGTCCCATACAAAAAAAGTATTTTTGTTCTACTTATGCAGTGTATTGGTAGGTTGATGTGTCATATTTGAAAGTTTTGGAAACATATACCTTCTTGGTGATGAACAAATATATTTAATGAATAAGCTTGATATAATTATTTGATCATTTTATTATTTGTTTAATTACCTTTACTATATATTTACTGTACAATAGTGTATGAAGACAGACATCAGAACTCATGTACATACATAACAAAGTTTGTTGGTGCCAAATACATTATACATGTATGATATGATGGTTTTTTGTTTGAATATGGTGATTGTTTTTAGATGGGCTCCTTTAATGATTGCAGGGGTTAAAATACCTGTGTTTTTTTTTTTGAATTATAGGAAAGATGTCAAAATGAAATGAGATTATTCTAATTTAGAACCATTTTTTTCCTATGACTGATTAAAGGTATGCTATATGGTATCCATTAGAGTTACTATGCATAAAATACTGTGGAATCATTTTAACTTGTGGGAGTCAGTATTTGTCAGCAACCAACATTTACTGGTTCATAGATATGTAATTTCAGGAGTAACTTGTATATACAAAAGATTCAATGAACCAATATGCTGACAAAGTTATTGTCTGTAGGGATGTAAATTCATAGGCAAGGGTGACCCTTAAAGTTCACATACAGTTGTCCTCCACAAACAATGATGATTCCAAAGTAGTGTGTATTATCCAATCATCTGTACTAAGGAGTAGATATGGGAATACATTTTTTCACTTATTTTTTGAATTTTTTATTTCGATAAAATTGCTACTATTTTGTGATAATTAGGACAAGCACAGAAATGAATAATATGATAATTTGAAGTTGGGGCTTACCTGCAAATTTTGTGATCACAATGTAATTATGGATTGGAATTGTTGATCAGTTATGCAGTTTTAACATTTTAGTCGGTCAGGTTTCTTCATACCCAAGGATTTCAGAATTTTTTGAATACTAATTAATGAACTTTTGAGCTTTTTTAAGCTTTTTTTTTTTGGTGTATGTTTTTTTTAGTTAAAAAAAAATAAAGAGCAGTAAAGAATAGTTAAATATTTTTATTTTTCTCTATTTTAAAGGTATAATCTATAGAAAAATATCTTGATTTAAGTATCTCTTTTATGTAAGAAGGTTAGAGTGTGGTTTAAATGTATACACATACATAAAACATGAATGATGTATTGTCAATAAATGTTTACTGTATTCAACGTTTTTGGTAGTATATGTATTTTAATGGAATTGCAGGAGGCAGGACACCAGAATTCAGATGTTTATTTTTTAAAAATTTACGTTTTTATAGCTACACCTTTCCTAGTGCTGTATGTAAATACAGCACTTCTTCCGGGAACAAAAGTTTTAGTAAAATCTGTGAGAAGAGGGATTGGTGTTGCGTTTATGTGTAATACTCTATTGAAACATTTGCGTACTTGTACCGAATAGTTAGTGTTCCACACTGAGGAAACAACCTCTACATCGAGGAAAACAGTGTGAAACAAATGAACATAGCTTTCATGAAAAGGGCTGATTGGAATTTATATCTTATTTTAAATCAAACATCCCCCCAATTCGTGCTAGATGTTTACAAAATTTTAAGAAAGAAGATGGGTGTATTTGGCATGTAATCTGCAGGAATAGTGCACGAAAATACTTGCATAGGAAAATGTTACATTGAAACACCTTGTCAAAAACTGTAATACATTTATTTAAGTCAGCTTATCTTAAGAGCTACAATATCATAGTAATACTTCACATAATCAATACCAAAAATATGAAATAATGGGTTATAATTAAATGCAAATATATTAAAATTTCAGTCGAGGTAAAAAATTGCTCTCGCTCTCAGTGCAACAGAATCAAACTTTAACTTTATTATAAAATATTAATAAATCGGTGAACAAAATCAAAGTGGCAAACAACTTAATTGTATAGTTAAACAATAAAAATAAACGCTCCATGCGTGGATCGAACCAACACTGATCAATTTCTCCCAATCCTGGACAGGTAACATACTTATATTAAACTGTGCTATCGTCCCATCATATTAGGAATGGGTTTTAAAATGACAAAGAAGCAGCGCATCAACACAATGTGATTTCTTTTTTAAAAGTTCATTTTTCATGGTGTCTGGGTCTGCACTTCATTTTTTAAACAAATGTTTGTTCGTTTCTTCAAGTTAAAATACACACAAATAACGTTTTAAATCGTGGAGAGATGGCCTAAAATTAACAATTTTATAGAAAAACGGTTTTAAAGTGTAACATTTTTGTACCAAAGGACTCGTTTAACCATATTTCAAGGTATATTTTCGCAAATCAAAACACAAGTACGCCCAGATTCCTGTCGAATCCAATTCAAATGCGCCTTCATTCTTTAAATACGGTCGCCTGCGTGGCGTAGTGGTAAAAACCTTTGCTTTAGAGTAGCGGAGTAAGGAGATGATCTTTACGTCGCGTGTTTGAATCCCACTGCGGGACGTGGAGACCGGTCCTTCGGATGAGACTGTATAAAGTGAGGTCCCGTGTCGCAGTAGGTGCTGGTACGAAACAGATCCCTCACTGCTCAAAGGCCTTAAGTGCGAAGTATAACTCTAAAATTGCAGCCCTCCACCGGCAAGCGGTGGCCTCTCAATATTAGTGAAAAATTCTCGAAGGGTCGTTAAAAAACAAACAAACGAAAATGTTTATAATGTTTATTTAATGTTGAACCCCCTGAACCCTTGTTTCCTTTAATTCAATGAAGTCAAATTTCCATTCTCATCTGTCGTTCGACGTTACATTTATATAGCAATAGAAAACAAAAACAAAACAAAACAAAAACAAACAAAAACAAAAAACAAGCAAATAAAACAAAAAGTTTTAATTACTAGTTTCACCATCAACACTAATAAATTACACTCCAAGAAATCTTGTAATAATCTAGTGAATGGCTCTACACTACAGGATTCATTTAACTTGCATACAAGATCAAGTAGACTGTTTTATATGCATTGATATATTCCAATGAAATTTTGGGATGTAGCAAATCCATTGGTCAGGACAAAGTTGTTTTTAAGTTTGTCGAATGCAATTTTTAAAGGATTTTCTACGTCTGTCAGCATCTCCTTGGCCACATGTCCATCACGTGACAACTGTACCAACGTGCGGGCATGGAATGCGCAGACAAAGATGTTGCCCTCGTTGTCCACGTCAATTCCGGTAGGACTTTTGATAATAGCTTCCCGACAGATCCACTGGATTGCTCCTGATTGCATTATCTTCACCACCGACCCATTGCTTTCGTCGGTCACATAAACACAGTTGCGATCCTCGTCGAAATGCACAAAGTGCGGCCATTCAAACACAAACTTGTGTGTTGAATTTGTGTTGATGTTGCGTGTGACTCTCCCTTGCATATCCATGTATTTCACAGAACCAATGCAGCTTTTGTAGTCATCTGAAAACGTGACCACAAGTTTCCCAGCGCTATGCGATACTCCGTGGCAATTTCCTTCTACTGCAATGTTGCGGATCGGAATGATTTTTTCACGGATGCGGAAGACTTGAATTTTTTGCTTAGCCGGGAATGAGACGAGAACATTGTCATCATCCACCATGCAGACGTCCCAGGGTTGATCTTCACAGCGGAGTTGATGGCGGAGAGTGCCAGTTCTTGTGAAAAGTTTAATTTTGCGGTTGCTGTGGTCTGCTAGAACGATCTCACCCTTGTTCGTGAAACCAGCGCCTGTAAAGAGACAGTTGCTTTTGTCAGACCCAGTCTTGGCATTAAATTCGGATCGCTTGATTATTCGTTTGTCCCAGTAAATTTTCCGACTAGGATGGTGTGGTGCCTCCAGCCTTTGAATTGGTGTTAGATGCATTTTCCCAATATTATCTTGCACTCGTGCTAGATTGTCTAAGACTGCGTCTGGAGACCATCCAAAGGTTAGATCGCTGTCTTTGTCTTTATCATTCTGGAACTCATGTTCATACTTCCTACAAAGCTCTTCGAGTCGTGGGGCTTGCTGGAGGACGTTCAGTTTCGTTCGGAATTTGACTGAAGTTTCTAGTTTATTTTTGGCCTCGTTAATCTGGCTGACGATCCCTCGGTAATGTTCAACTTGATCTTGGAGTTGCATTCTTTGCTGCTGGTCAGCATTATCTATGTCCTGATGAATGTTGGATTCAAGGGTATCGAGTATTGTTTTTGTATCCCGAATCATTGAAGCAACTCGTGCCGTCGCTTTGTTCTTCTGGTCTTGAAGGTACTGTAGGCTGCGTTCCTTTGTGGCTACAACTGACTGGGCGTAACTAGCACATTTTTCTGCTCTTTGGAACAAGGAGGTGGTGGAGAGTCCGAAATCACTCCCGATGTCAACCTGATCGACGCTTTTGACGATCTCGCATTTCCTGTGCCCAAGCGCGATGCACATGACGCAGCAGGTGCTCTGATGGTCGACGCAAAAGAAATCGAGCTCTTTATGCGGATGGATGTTGCAATTGTTGCCAGTGGCAGTTCCGAAAGAGGAAAGGGGCTTTAGAGCCATGGAAGAAGTTGTTTCACCCAACTCTATGACGACATGGTTTCTCAGAGCTTTCATATTTCTGTGGTATTTGGCACATGTTTCACATAATCCCTCCAAACAGTTTTTGCAAAAGTAAAGTGCATCCACTACCTCCAAGCTATCATTATTGCAGGGCTCGCACTTAAGTTTGGTGGCGCTTAGCGAGGGAACCTCAACCGAGGTCAGTTTGTCATCCTCGAACTCTAAGTTCTCCATCAAAGACACATTCCTATAGGTCACCGGAAGAAGCTGATATTCATAGGACATCCCAGCGGAAGGAAAATGAAGCTCGATATAAAAAGAAGGACATCGTATTTGTAAAATTGGCGTGAGCCACAATTTCTACAACGTTGCTAAAACTAATTAACCCGAAATGCAAGGACTTTAATTTGTTTAAAGCATGTAAAATGAACAATAAAAACATTTAAAATAATTGTTGCGCTTTCGTGGCTCTTTTTATTTTCACTGTAAAACTTTCTGTTTTTCTCATGCTCTAGTTCCATGGTGTAAATTATCATATTTCACATTTACGAGTTTTGTAAATGAATTTGAAAACAGTCTATGTAAAAAAAGAGAGAAATTAATCCATGGGGAGCATTAATGATCAGATAAACATGGATTTAAAATAAATCTTTTTAAAGATAAAAACATGTTTATTTATTTATGAATAACACGTTTTAAAAGTTTTATACACCGAATGTACAATCATAGTTAAACCTTGGTTCTTTCCAGTGCTTTTTGGGAATTGTCACTCCTCCCAAAATTTGTACATAAGGGCCATTAAAGTTGGGAATTCACTGGCAACAGTGGTCAGTTTGATAAAAAAGAAACACGACTTCAGTACACCATTAATTGTTTTGTTACACATTGTCATGAAGGCAAAGCTTCTTAAAAAAAATCTATTACTCACTCGACTGTTGGACTTTCGAAAATCAATGACAAATTAGTATGAATTGAATTCGATTTTATTTCTGGCTGAGAGAAAACGCTGTAAAAGTCGTTTGTTTTATCTTATAGCTCACCTGAACCAGAGGATCGAGTGAGCTTTTTTTAATGATGTCATTTGTCGATATATTTTTTTTTTGGGGGGGGGGGCATTTTCAACTTCTTCTACAATTTCAAACAACCTTGATTCAAAGCATTCTGAAAGGATTTTAAGTTTGTTAAATAAAAGGCAAAATAGACTTCCAGTTTAAGAGAATAATCAAAGTACAGAATGTACTTACTGGAGTTGAAACTTTCAAACATTTAAAGGAAAAAAAATCGATCAATTATCGAAGTAATTCCGAATTTTCTTTTTATACCCCTCAAACTATTCACCTACACTGTTTACATTACTTCAAAGTGTTTTTAAAAATGTTAACATGTACATGTATTTATATGTACTTCGTAATGTGCATTAGATATTTTGGGATTCCAAACAAATATATACATACTAGATTAACCTCTCTAATTAGCACTGAACTCGATCACGCAGTCCCCAGTGTGGTAAAATGAATTACAGATTGCCAGCTGAAAAAGTTTTTATAGATAATTCTTTTTTTTTTTTTTTTACTATTTTCTACAAAATTTCGAATGAAAACGAAGGATTACAGTTTTTACTTTGTATAATCCATGCAAACCATTGCTGGTGGGTCCCCCCACCCCCCACTTTTTTTGCGTAATGACCTAAGGAGATTGAACTTGAGCTCAACTCACAAAAATAGGACTGATGCTCAAAAATACTATTCTCTAAGGTCACAAAAATACCAGACTGAAGTTGTTGATTTTTTAAATTTTGTGTATTTATGACCTTGTTCATATCATCCCCCCCCCCCCCCTCCACATGGGAAATCAATTTTGAAATAGGGGTTTATAGGATATTATTTTCCAGAAAAGCAAGTTTGTGATAAGTCAAATTGATATGCTAGGATCCCATTGTAGTGTAGATTAACCCCGGAGCTAGGGTATGGCTACAATAAAGAGATCAAAACTTTTAATATTTAAGTTGTTCAACAGATGGGCTTCAAATATTTAAATAAGAACACTTTTGAATCTGATTTATATAAAATTTTATCAACGTTCATGTGCGTTGTCATCGTATATACCTGTAGGCCCCTTGACATTATTTAGGGACTGCAAGAAAAAAATGGGGGTAAATCTAATATTCATTTGCCAGTTTGTCAGATGTCAGTTACCCACCCGAGTGTTGCGGTCCCTCCTTTTTTTTTTTTTTTTTTTTTTTTGCTAGATGAATTAAATACCACTTTACACTCTGCAGCTTCTGTGGCAAAACCTGGAAAACGTGTTAATAAACATATTTTTTGATGAAGACTACAGGAAATTTTTTCTAATAATACCATGCCCCCGATTTGCTGACAGAATTTCAAAATGTCACAAATAATTAACTTTTCTGAAATGTTACCGTGTTTATCACAAGTGAAAGGAAGAGAATCCGATTAAAATTATTTTTCTGATATGACTGCCATGATATATGTGGTTGAATGACAAAAGAATAAGTATTGTAGAAGTGAATGGATGATAACTCAAAAAATTGTCATTGCTGATACAAAATGGTATTTCGTACTTTCTAAGTTCTTGTAATTTTACCACTTCATTGAGATATCCTCATTCATTTGTATTTTTTTTGATATGAAGAACAAATTAACATCCATTCACGCTGATGTGTTAAGTCAGTTTTTAAAACTAACATTAGAAAAAGATTAATGCACTGATTTCTGAGTGAAGCAAATTTTTTTAACGAAGTTGTGGATTTAGGAAAGTTGTGGGTTTCGGGAAGGGGAGACAGTAAATTCCAGAGATTCTTTTTAATTATACATCTTCTGCATGTCCTATGAATCTTTGGTCAAGTATTTCTCTCCACTGATATGTGTGTGTGTGGGATGGGGGTGGGTGGGGATGGGGGGTTAATTACTTTGACCAAATGTAATTTATCTCACGAAAATGATGGACACTGTTATGAATACGCCTATTGGTTTTGCATAAGAAGTCGTGCACTTACTTTCTATGTGTGTCATTATTGTAATATAATCAAGATGTAATGTACTAAAAATATAAATATGCATGGAAATTAATTTTTAAATTTTTAAAAATATATCTGAAAATATCAACGTGAAAATTCACTCGAAAAAGATGTGTGTTCATTTGGGAAATCCAGATTTTAAAACAAATGAATAATAGAATTACTCATTGAAAATGGAGACTTTCGTGTTTCATAATTAAATAAAATACCACAATTAACACTCAAAGTACAGTATTAAATGTTTTTACCTTGACATTTCTGCGTGTATCTTGGATTTCTTTCGTATTCACGTGTTATTTTTCTTTGTAGATTTACAAATAAAAACGTGCTTTAAAACCAATTATTTCGGTGAATTTAATTTCACCTTCTTTAAAAATTTTTTAATGTGCATTTCCGTTCCGTTACCTAATAATAATTCCATAGTATTTTGCAAAGCTTTAGTTGGGATTAAATATTCTATGTTCTAGACATCTTCCTAAATACATTTAAATATATATACACCAGAAGACAACAGGACCAACAATTCAAATTCATGTAATTGCCCTAGCACCAACCATTCAAAAGTTAGACCAAGGTTAATGTTTTTCAAAACTAGGTCAAACTCCAAGGTCAAGTTCAAAGGGTCAAAGTTGTTGGTATCCAAAGGAAGGTCTTGTCACAAGGATTACACATGTGAAGTATTAAAGCCCTAGCACCAACCGTTCAAAAGTTATGGCCAAGGTTAAAGTTGGGAAAAATTTTGTAAAACTGGGTCAAACTCCAAGGTCAAGGACAAAAGGTCAAATATGATGGTATGAAGGTCTTGTCACAAGGAATACACATGTGAAATGTGAAAGCCATAGCTCCAACCAATCAAAAGTTATGGGCAATGTTAAAAATTTTGCGGACAAACAGATAAACAGACAAACAGATGGACAGTGCAAAAACTATATATACCCCCGAATCTTGGATACGGGGGCATAAAAAAGAAAAGAAAGTTAGACGTCACGGTCAAAAAATCTTAGTATATTAAAAAGGTAATGCACACGTGAAATATGAAAGCCATATTTTTATGCCCCCGTATCGAAGATTCAGGAATATATAGTTTTTGCCCTGTCCGTCCGTCTGTCTGTCTAGCTGTCTGTTTGTCCGCAAAAACTTTAACCTTGCCCATAACTTTTAATTGGTTGGAGCTATGGCTTTCATATTTCACGTGTGTATTCCATGTGACAAGACCTTTCTTTGGATACCATCATATTTCACCTTTTGACCTTGGAGTTTGACCCAGTTTTACAAAATTTTACCAAACTTTAACCTTGGCCATAACTTTTGAACAATTGGTGCTAGGGCTTTCATACTTCACATGTGTAATCCTTGTGACAAGACCTTCCTTTGGATACCAACTTTGACCCTTTGACCTTGACCTAGGAGTTTTATCTTACTTTTGAAAAATTTTAACTTTGGCTTTTGAACAGTTGGTGCTAGAGCTTTTATATTTCACATATGTAATGCTTGTGACAAGACCCTTTTTTGGATACCAACAACTTTGACCCTTTGACCTTGACCTTGGAGTTTGACCTACTTTTGAAAAACTTAAACCTTGGCCATAACCTTTGAAAGGTTGGTGCTAGGGCTTTCATACTTCACATATATGTAATCCTTGTGACAAGTCCTTTCTTCGAATACCAACAACTTTGACTCTTTGACCTTGACCTTGGAGTTTGACCTACTTTGGAAAACTTCAACCTTGGACATAACTTTTGAATGATTGGTGCTTCGGCTTTCATATTTCACCTGTGTATTTCTTGGGAGAAGGCCTTTCCTTAGGCACCATTAATTTTGACCATTTGACCTTGATGTTTGACATACTTTTGAAGAAAAAAACAGTAACCTTTTCCATATCTATTCAATGGTTGCTGCTAGGGCTTTCTTATTTCACAGGTATATACCTCGAGACAAGACCTTACTTTGGGTACCAACATATTTGATTTGCATTTGAGAAAGTTTAACCTTTGCTATAAGTTGCCATACGGGGTCATCAGTGTTTCACAAACACATCTTGTTTCTAATTCAAAGGTTACTACCAAAGTTAACTTTTTTGAAAAGTAAACTTAATGTCAGGTTACGGGGTCAGTAGTCATAACATATTCCTTGAAATGAATTGTGGCAGATAATAAAAATGTGAAATAAAAAAAATAAAAAGAATCTCATTTCTTATTCAAAAGTTATATTTAAAGTAAGAAATTTTGAAAAGTAGGTCAAACTTCAAGGTCATGGGGTCAATTATCATTGTATATTCGGAAAGAACTTGTCACAGGTTATGTACAAGTGAAATTCGAACGTCTTATCTTTTTTTCATTCAAAAGTGAAGGTCTTACGTTTTTGTGACAGACTGACGAATAAGATCAAGTGCCCCCGCGCTTTCCGCGGACATGGGACAACATGATAAATTAATATGAAATTATGAATAATAGCCCTTGTCTAATTTGATGAAAATACAGTGTCTTAAGATTAAATGCCCACTTACTTCAAAAGTTCAACAACAAATGAAGCTTTGCTTATGTGAATTTCACAGTGGGATGGGTGGTGCTTTCTCCCTCCTCCATATTTGTTGTCTTAATTCAACCTAATGGTTTGAAAAGATTGAAAGATTGTGTTATTTTAACTTTCACACCTCCCCACAAAAAATACTGGTACAAGTTTATCAATTCTGGGGGAAAACATTCTGCTGGTTTGTCATATTTTGGAGATTGACAAAGGCTAACCCTTTAAAATTTTGGAATTCTAACAAACCAGCAGGTAAACATTATACATTTATTTACTGGGTTCAAGGGCAACATGCGTTTTGTCGGACGCCAAGAACCAAATTGTTTGCCTGAGGCCATTAGGGAGAACCAGATTACACTTGCTGGTAGGGGACTAGTATTGCTTATGTAAAATTCTCAGAATGCTTGTTGACTGGGTTTTCCGTAAAAAGCATTTTGCCAATCCCTGAACCAAACTTGCTAACATAACAATCCAGTTTGGTTCTAGGTCCCAACAAAATGCATGTTGCCTTCCAACTCAATAACTGCATAATGACATTTTTCTTCAATGTTTCTGTCTCATCAACAAACAAAGGGATTTGAATTAAAATCTAAAAGATAGGTTATTACATATTACATATCCTGTCTGATTTCTAAATCTCTACAAGTTTGATCAATGTAGGGTTGTGTTAAAGAATGCAAATGGACTATACAAAACTTTAACCTGCCATTGGTGTAATTTTGATATCTACTTTCAAAAGGAGTTACAGATAAAACATACACAGAAAACTGACATAGATTTATTGATAATGTTATTGCACATTTCTTTGTTCTCTCAAAATACAGTACAACCAGTTCTCTCTTACAATATAGGTATTGATGAACATTCAGTAGTGTTTTTAAAACTAAATTTAAGCAGATCACAATAAGGATTTTGTTTATACATCACATATTTTAACAATGAATGGAAAAAAATCATTCAGAATGTCCACACAAAAAAAAAATTTTCTCTTGCAATGTTGACTGAAAGCAACCATGGACTTTTAAACATCTACATCATGCATAGTTGTAGTTTAAATACTCTAAAGGATGCCAAACAAGGTATTTCTTCTCTTAACACTTTCAAATACAAACATTTATTATTGAGTGGCAAGGGGTCAATGACAATGTCTCAAAGACTGTGTGATGTTGATTTCCAGCTTTAATTCTAGGGACAGGTTTATAAGAATGAAAAATAAATTTACTAAGCATAACATTATAAATACACTGAGTTCTTCAAATGAGGTCAACTATTTTTACAAAACTATTTCTGCCATCTTGCCCACATTATAAGACACTTCCCAGCAGCTCTACATCTATATACCTATTATACAACCCTGTAGGTATAGTCAAATTTATGAACTAGTTAGAGATGTTAGAAATATTATGCATGATAAATGTACTTTAAAATACAAGTAATAATGGAGGTGTGTTGGGCCACAGTAGTCAACTGAGACTTGGTACAGGTTGCATGGTTGAATAAAAGCTACAAAACAAATTTTAAGATATGTTGGCTGGATAAAATATTATCTGTATATGTTCATTACCATACCAACAACAGGATTTCAAAAATTTTAAAACAGAATATCATTTAAGTATAAATAAGGAAATACATGTACTTGAATAGACTGATCTACAGCTTAAATTGAAAAATTTCTAGTCATCATATGACACTGCTTACCAGTATTAAATGAATACAACCTACAATTTGTATATTTACTTCTGTAAGAGATCTTTTACATTTGAATGCCCACTGAAGAAAATTTGATGGGAATCTGCAACCTAAAACTGTACAGAATTTCCAATTTAGATATCCACTGAATTTTCATTAAAATTCTTACATGGAGTGGCAAGACAAAAGAGTAAACAATATCACATGACATAACAATTTTTAACATGAACAGTTAGGTACCATGGTGGGTTTAAGTAAATTTGAAAGACAATGAATGTGCTCAGAGTACACATGTAAACTTATAAACATGACATAGATTATTGTTCAATGTTAAAGTCATGATGAAAGAAACACATGAGAAAAAAAAATTCAAACTCCTCAGGAAGGGTTACAAATTGATTTACAGAAAAAAACATCAGTCATTTTGTAATTAAAACAAGTTTGTATGGCAATGATGAACACAACATTTGAAATAAAACTTGTGTCAAATAAAATGCAAAATAAAAGCCAATTCAAATTTAAAATATAACCCCTAAGTCCTACTCTTCTTCCTACACTGATTTCAATTCCATCAAATGGCCAGCACTAAAGGAAAGTAATAAATATTGATCATAAAATGCAGCACCATTACAGCTTAAGTGGCCTTCTAGGCAGTAATACTGGTTTGCAAGCATAAGGTATGGATTATACGAGTGTCAATCCCACATATCACATTTTTATCATAGTTCCTCAAAGAATGCCACACGTGCTTGAGCAGAATTTGCTTTAGCCTAAAAAAGAAAACAAAAACAAGAGCTTTACAATCTCAAGATACCGATTGATTAGATTCTCCATCTTATAAATGAGTTCAGTTTGGACCAAAATCATGTATGACAAGTCACCACAAAAAAATCAGTGAATGACGATCAAAGCTGCAGGGACTACATTAGTTTTAATAAGAGATTTAGAATAGCTCTGCATAATCAGAACCACAGTCATATATTTCTGATGACAATGTATATTCTATATGTAGAATACTGTCTCTGTGTTGAATATTTTTTGTCCCCCTGTTGGATACTGGTCTCACACAGCTCACCAACTTGCCTACATAATGTCTACCTGTCTGCCTGTAGAAAATTCACTATCCCCCCCCCCCCCCCCCCTCCTTATTGATACTATTCCCTTGCAGTCAGCTAATCTGTCTGAGTGCAAAATAGTTACTGGTATTATTTTTCTAAGGATACTGTCCTTATGCAGTCTGCCTACCAGTCTAAAAATGAAAATATTTACTACCCCCCTTTCTGGATACTGCAAGCTATCTGACTATTTGTACAATATTAACTATCCCCCTTCTGTATACTGCTCTCATACAACCTGCCTACCTGTTTGAATATGGAATATTTACTATCCCCCTCTGGATACTGCTCTCATACAACCTATCTACTTGTACAATATTTTCTATCCCCCCCCTTTACCCCGGATACTGTCTTCATTCAGCCTGCCTACCTGCCTGCCTGAGTGTAGAGTATTTACTATCCCCCCCCCCCCCTTTCTGGATACTGCTCACATGCAGACTACCTATCTACTTGTACAATATTTCCTGTCCCTCTTCCCCTCTTCTGGATATTGCTTTCATGCAGCCTGCCTACCTGTCTGAGTGTAGAATATTTACTATCCCCTCTCTGGATACTGCTCTCATGTAGCCTGTCCAGATCTGTTTCTTTCTCCTCAACCTTTAGCACCTCTATTTCAGACTTGAGCTCCTTCAGTTGTTCCTGAAGGTGTTTTGACTTCTCCATGTATTCAACTCTACAACAAACCAATAGTCAATTTCAGAATGGTATAACACCAGAAATATTCAAGCACATACATAATTCTACATTATTCAAGTAAAAAATCTTAGGATTTTTTTTTTTTGGTGTTTTATTCTTGTTTTCATTTTGGTAAGACATAAGAACTATATCTATAAGAATGGTTTGAAAATGAATTTCCAATAATCTGTTGTTTTTATTTTTACATGACTACTTTACAGCCAACCTTTCTCTTTCTATCTCTTGGGACAATTGATCCATGTCCCCGTCCCCCAGTAGTTCACAGCTGATTTCCCCATCAATAGGAACATGAGTTGGTCCAATGTGGAAATCCGAGAGGTCAGAGGTTAATGAGGCAAGGGGAAACATGGTCTACGTATAAAAAATAACAACATTTTAACTTATCTACAAATTGTAAATCTCAATTAAATTCTGAAACTATAGATTTTAATGTACTCTTAACATACAAGAACTATAGTTTAGCATTGAGAGATCAATCTTTTGTCTTTCATAGATAGTGAACATTGTAATATACGAGTCTATTTGGTTTGAGGCAATATTTGACGTAAAATAAAAGGCTAAATATATTTGTAGAATACTAGTTCCTACAGGGTAAGTAGGAGAGACCCGTGCCACCTCCAGCAGCCTCTCTTTGGCTAACTTTTCTGACAGTCTCGCCTGACTGAGTTCTTCCTTCAGCTGTTCTGCCTCTTTTGCTCTAAATGAAACAATTTAATCAGTGTATTCTGTGCTTACTAAAAATAAAAACTAAAAGATTTAAAAAATTTAAAGAGAAGGTGTATAGTTCATCCTTACTTTCTGATTTAATTTCATCAAGTGAGCAGCATTTTGTCAGTTGTAATAAAACATTTAAGAATATTACATGATGTGCTTCATTAGAGTCAAGCTTATACAAGCAAAACAATGGATTTTTAGAAAATAAATTTCAATGTTTTCTTGACAACTTTCTGTGTTAAAAAGACACACCTCCTTTCCGAGTCCTCTAGTAACTTGGTGGCAATCATTTCATATTCCCTTGCTCTGAACTCCATTAAGATTCTCTCCTCCTCAGTCTAAACAAGAAAAATAAAATTAATCAACATTAAAAACTCTTTCCAAATTTCTGTAGTCTACACCAACAAATCTGTAATTATAAGTTATCTACCTTGATGGCAGTAATTTTGATGCTTTGTATCTCCCTCTCCGTGTCTGAGGCTTTCTGGGTCAGAAGTTGAGCTTCCTCCTCGGCGAACCTCGCCTTCTCCGCTAACAGTTCTGTAGTTTCCTCAGATCGTTTCTATTATAATTCAAAACAAAGAAAAATTGGAAACCAAACCCCAAGGTTAAAACTGCAGTTGATACATAATAGTAACAGGGTCTGTATTGAAAGTTGTTGACTTAAAGACATAAAAAAGATCACCAAAACTTCATGAGAATGCAGCAGTAGATTTATTTTGTCTACAGATTTTGAACAGAGACAGTCATCATCAGAAGCTGATGACGATCATACCTGGTCAAACCGGTCAACAAAATAAATCTAACAGCTGCATTCTCACAAAGTGTTGGTGATCTGTTTTGTCTTTAAGTTTACTATTATAATTCAGCTAAAAGAAATTTTGGAAAAATTGTTTTCAAAAAACATTTTTTTCAACAAATGAGTGTATTTTTCCCAAACAGCTTACCAACATTTCCTGAGCGGTCCTCACTTCCTCCTGCATCAGAGACAGCTTTCTCTCTAGGTCTGCCTTTTCTTTCAAAGCTTCTTCTTTCAGTTGTTTTTCTTTGGCCAGTTTTGCTCTGTCACACTATCAAATTAAAAAAAAAATTCCATCTCAGACAATGTAGCTTATGGGCACACAAACTTGCCCTAGATTTCATTGTTTACTACATGTTACATCCAAATGTATGATAAATTTAGAAATATTAGTATGACAGACATAACTATTCTTAATATTAAATAAATATTTTTCCACTTCAAGGTTTACTTACCCTTTTCCGCTGTCGCTCGTCTCTGGCATTGGCTTTCATTTGCTGAATCTCCATAGAATCAGGTTTTCTCCTTCTCATAAACAACTCATGGTTTCCTACACATAACTCTAAAATCTGAAGAACGTAAACATTCAGATATCACTGCAGGTCTTCATTTCTCATTAACAATCTATTGAGCTTGTATCTTAACACACATTCACGTTAACCATGCTTACTGCATGCTGATATTATTACTTTTTTGTAAGTAGAAAAAGAAAATAAACATGAGATATGGGGTTATTCTCAAATTATGAATCTGAAAAATGTTTTATATCAAAATTCTGTAGCATTACTCACTAGTTTATTAATTTTCACTTTAGGTGCATAGAAAATAAAATCTGGGACTTTCTTTCCAACTGGTTTAATCACAAACTGAAAAGACACAATATAATAATACTCATTTAATCAAGTGATGTTTATTAAATAAATGTACAGCAATCAGCACATCACTTGAAATCAATGACATGTTTGTTTCTTTTAAGAAAATTAAAAAGTAAATTGCATGGCACCAAAAATCTTGGCATTTTTAATATTTCACAGTTTATACAATCAAAAATAGATAAATCTGTGCTTTGACTAAGATGAAATGATACTACTATATTTTGCATCACACTGCAGTACTTTTGGGTCCTACCTTTTTTTCTTTAAACGAGATATTTTTGACTTCACTCCAAGGGAAGGTAATTTTAGGTTCTAGTCTGTTATTCTGATTATATACATTAAGTCCTAAAGCATCCACACCCAGCCAAAGCTCTGTGTTCTTTTTATTCTAAAGTGCAATAAAATAAAATCATTTATTCATAAAACTCTCTGTTCTTTTGAAACTGTTAATATACAAATCTTTATAATTTGAACTTTATTTTCCTGTATTTTCTTATTAAATTTTGTAAAAAAAATTTTCTCAAATATGATTTAAAAAAAAAAACAATTTAAATATACTTTATAGCAAGATCGAGCCGAGCAACATACAGCTGAATTGTACATGTCTTGTTTATTTGCTTCTAAATTCCTTTGCATTTTGAAATCTTGAAAATTGTTCTTTAACTAAAAGTAATCCCCAGTCAGTGTTCCTGACCTAGTACCTTAATCTGAAAATAGTTCACACCATATTGCTCCAGATCTTGAGCTATCTTTAGATACTCCATCTCAGCTTCATCACTAGAAAAGAAAAAGACCAATTAACATATTTGACCCATTCATGTTTTTTTATACATAAATTATGGCTTAAAGTTGAAAACATGAAAAACTACATTAACTTAGATCTAGACCTACCCAAGTACAAAAACTTATCTAGGAACAAAGTCATGTATGCCCATAAATTCTCATCATAATAAGAATGAATCTATCAGATATTCTACCAATCCATTTAAACAACTATAATTACAGTCTGTATCATGTGTTACAGAAAAAGAAAACTGGACATCCCTTTTGTTGGCTTAAATGTTATTACTAAATACCTGGACATCCCTTTGTGGTCAGCATACCACTCCTTGATTCGATCCTCCCACATTTCTGGGGTCATCTGGTACTGGTCGATCACTCGCTGGGGTAAAAGGTCATCACTGGACAACATACCAGGCTTGTAGTTTGCTGGGTCATAATCACCATACTTTAAGAAATCAGAATAGTATTCATATTTCATGATTTATGAATAATATTCAGAACCCTGTGCTTTCTTTAATGTAAATAATGTATAGAAGTATGAAAAAAACCCACAGCAAAACATTATAAGAGCAAAGTTTCAAGACAATCAAACTTACATCATTAAAACCATAATTCATTATATAGCACTATTTTGTTGTACTTAATGAAAAAATTACTTTGTTTAGAGATGAAATTCTATCAGTATTTTTCTCCTATTTTTACATAAAATATAAATATACATGTACATAGATTTATTTTTCTCTGCATCCGTTCTTTTTTGTTCACACATCATGAAATCTTCACGAAAAATTTCTGTTGCATTTTTTAATGAAATACACCGAATCAAACCTTTGCTTGAACAGCATACGAGGCCAACAAAACGGAAGCCTCTGGAGGACAGTAGATATCCATGTTAAGGATGGACTGCTTCACTTGCAGAAAAAATAAATGTTGTGTTATCTCTTGTATCAACTCTTCTGAAACATCCTCTGGGTAAAATTTGGCAAGAAACAGAAAAGGAACTGGAGAATCTTTGGGAACATCTTGATCAAGAACCTGGAAAATTAAAGTTTCTCAATTGAAACAATGTTTTAGCTGCTTTAAAATGACGTAAAATCAAATATTGCAAGAAATAACTTAGTGAAATTATAACTTTATTGAAAGGTCAGAGCAGGTCAATATAGTTATGAATTGATGAATTAGCAGTGCAAATATTTTATTCATTCTTTATGTCTCTGAATACCGGTACTCATGTGACATTAATGGATCTGATAATTGAAATATCATCACTTTTAATAAAAGAGGAAACAAAATATGAATAATTGGCAACAGATTTAAATGATAGTTTTATCAGCAAGAATATGTTATTCCAAGAGTTGTCTTTTTTGCCGAGTACAAAACTGTTCATTTTTTTGAATTTCTAAAACTGACTCTTTTTTTTTTAATCTACAGAGTTAAATAATATTTTTTCTTGCTAAAAATTCTATTTGCTGTTGTTTACATTTCACTTGTTTGAGTGTATTTAGATCTTTTGTAATTGATGCATCAATTCTGAAATTTTCATAATAACATCCCTACATATGTGCTGTGGTTTTCTATATTGAATTTCTACCTTTCTGTCAAATTTCAACCATGAAATGTATCCCTTAGAGTCAACAAACTGTAGTCCAAAGTACCAAGTTTCCCTCAGTCCAATAGTTCTACACACTAGCTCAAATAAATCTTTTCCAGTTGCCTTGTGCTAAAATAAAGAATGAATAAATAAGAGTATAAAACAAAGTTTCACACAAATATTTATACAACTGATTTCCTAAAGTTTCATGATGACAGAGAAATTGAGAATGTTACTGTAAATAGTTGCATATGAGGCTCTACAAATGAGTTAAAAACTGTTATTGATTTAACTTGATTCTGAATTGCTGGCAGTTTCTTGACAGCGAACATTTGATTGGATAATTAGAAAGATCACCAAGTGATCGATGGCCATCAATGGGGTTTCTTTGGATCAAAGGATCTGATTTTAATCAGACTGGTATTGTTCTTTCGGGGACTTTCCCCAGATCAGGCAGATGTCATATTGTAACTGTTAATTATGTTTTTCATACAAATTGTACATTGCTAACTGAAACAGGTCTAGGCGTCCTCCATTTTTGGAGTATAGATTCTATCCTCCAAAATCAAAGGATAGCGGTCTTGCCACCTATCAGATTTTTCAAAACCAAGAGCAGTGAACTCTTAAGGAACAAAAAACAGTAACTTGTTTTTATGAACCGTACGCCGATTTCTGAGCCATAACAAATAAAACACATATATTCATATAATGATGGATATATCTAGATTTTAGATCAATATTACAATATTTGTGTAATTGCTGTCAATCATTAATCAGTTTACAGCTTAGTTAACAATAATTACCTTACCTGTCTCTGAAGTTTGTTATGAGCATGCCAATTTTCTGGTACAGTAATTGCGTGACAAGCTAACGGTTTAGAAAATTTGATTAAATGATTCTTTTTTGAAAAATCAAGTTTAAAATATTATTTCATTCATTTGATAATCCTTAAGCCAATCATTTCTTTAATATTTTTTCAAGAAATATGCAGTAAAATGGGAGTGCAAAAAGTGCCAACTTTGAAAATAAATTGCAAAAGATCTAGAGTAGACATAGAATCTCAAATCGCCACATACAATTGATATTTAATGTTTGAACTTTTATTTGCGTGTACTCTGGTGCATGCACTTTTCCGCTGAAGGTAGGCAAGAGGCGTTAGAAAATTACCGGTGTTATCCTCTGAAATCGCAGGATAAGCTATCCCACAAAGCAATTATTTTCCACATATGGTAAAAAAAAAAATTGGCTGCCATATTGAATTTAGATATCCTCTGAAAACAGAGGTCGCCCAGACCTGTTGAAGGATTTATACAGATAACAGACCTCTATATATGAAAATTCTAGCTCTGCATCCATGGTTGTAACTCGAACTGCAAAACTCTTGCCTCCCCCGGCCTGGCTGGAGGCCTTTTTCATATTAACAAAAGGCATGTTGTAAAGGTTCAGCAAATCTCAACTCTTCCTTCTCAGCTCTACGTTTGCAATTCCATGTTCAAAGTTAAAAGGGAGAGCTATCTGTAAATGAGTTGAAAAATCTTACTCAAACCTACCTTCTTCTACATCTCTTTTCTAATGTTTAATTGTCTTACATTAAGCATTTGGAATAAAGAACAGCAACATCAACTGTCTTAACGTACTCTTAACAGGAGTTTTTCTTCTTAAAATTAAGTAATCATAGCTTTCAAACAGCTTTTCTCTAATATATTGTGAACAAACTTGAAAATACTTTTGCAGATCCATCTACGTTATATTAGTGCTTTATGTCTTCATATGAATTTTCTCTATTTTAAAACGCACAAGCGACTATGACTAATCGCTAAAGATTGTAAACAGGAAGTTTTGGTTTTTAGAGCATGCGTGAAATTTAGCGGGAAATTGCTGATGGTGGTAAAATCAAGACAGAGAAAATAAAGTAGAGAGATGACTAATTACAATCTGAGCTCAGGGGCCATTGAGGTGAGTTTTTCTAATTCCATTGTCTCAGATTCCAGGATTTAAGGAAATTTAAAGGAAATTAAAAAATAATGACACAATTTACTTTCTTGTTAACTGTAAATTTCAGTCTGGTTGAGAATGTCACTCGTTATGTTCTGTTGGTAGCAGACTACTGAACTGTTCATTTATTTTTTATTTAGGCGATTATCAATGGACAGAATTTTGACAAACCAGTGCTGCAAGTTATTGTAAGTTGCTGTTTATCTTCACAATGTGTATTCAACTTGTGTAAATGGTATACAGTCAACTCGTACCCATTCCGACTCAATTAAATTAAATTTGTTTGTAAAATTCAACTTGGCATAATATAGATAACGTATAGATAGGGCCTAGATAGATTCTTTATTTCCAAACCAGGGCCCTTTCAGGCATCACAAACAACAAGCATGACTTATGCAATTACCAACAGCACAGACAAATTATGTGTATACTAGATAATCTATACTACATGTCTTTGTATATAGTATAACACTGTATATGTAAGTAACAGTTTTTGGTACGAGTTGATTCCTCGGGTACGACTCGGTTTGGGTACGAGTCGGTTTCGGTACGAGTTGAGATTTACAGTCAACTCATACCCAAACCGAGTCGTACCCAAAGAGTCAACACTATATAATGCCATACGACATGATGCCATAAAATTTGTAAAGTTTATTATGGTTATATCCATAATGTTTGTTAATTACCTGAAAAAAAGATTTTTTAAAATGTAAAATTTACGTTTCACAATTTGTTGTTTGTGTGTTGTTGTTTTTATGTTTTTGTTATCTTATAGCATAACAAAATCAGAGAAAATAGAACTATTTAAATAGTCATTAACAATGCACATTAAGAAATAAAATACAAGAATCATACAAACTTATATATTTACCCTTGAAAACAATTAATTGTTTCTTTTTTATTTAATTTTTGACATTTAAGCTTTGAGTACGAATTGACTCTAGGTTTGGGTACTAGTCGGTTTGGGTACAAGTTGACTGGATACCCGAGTTGACTGTAAATCGTGTAAATCATGGGCGCTTGGTTTCAGGAGGGTGAATTTTGTGTATCATGTGTTTTTTTTTAAGGTGTGTCTGAATACACTCATTAAAATGAAATACAAAATTAGCATGTTTTAAAAAATATCATATTACTGATTATTAAAAGACTGAAGGTATGACAGTTGCCATCTTTGATTTCAAGGGGTGCCTCGTTTCACACAATTTCAGTCTATATCTACACTTTTCCTACCAATGTCCGGTGAAATCTAGCTTAAAAAATGAATGAATAATCCCCTTCAATTATCTGTCGACTTGAACTTGCTGTATAAAACATGTAGATAACCAAAACATCCTTGATACCTAGCACTGAAACTGAAAGCAATGGAAGTGACGATTTCTAACTATGTAAAATGTATAGGTGTCCTGGAATTACACGGAAAGTTTAGAGATATCAGAAACCATGCCAAACTTGTTTTCTCTAGACTTTTTCATGTACTTCTGGAACATCTCTACACTTTACATATTAGAAATAGTGAATAACTACTTCTGTGTTGGTCCAGCTGTAGTTAGAATAATCGGACTGTGTCTAGAGACAAGCCCTAGTCCTTGGGACAGTATCATTTTAATGATAGAATGTTCTATCTAGTCCAGCTGGTTCTTCTTTCATTTTGTAGAATCAAAAGTACATCCATACCCAGAAGTGAGTGTTGTTACCCGGGTATGAATACAATGTCTGTTTGTCTGCACCATTACGATACACAAATAAGTTAATAAACAAGTCGCGGCTGGAATATTCGGCTTAAAAACGATTACGCTTGTAAAATAGAATAAATAACCCGATTAATCGGAATAAAAATTTTGTAATCGAGTGCTTGGATTATGCCAGCAATCGACTGATTTTTGATTATAATTGATGATTGGAACACCACTAAGATAAAACACAAAATACACACTTTTGAAACCAAGCGCCTATGGTGTAAATATTTTATTTATTTGTTAATTAATCAGGTTAGGACCAATCACCCAAATGGAATATAGTAGTCCGATTGGGATATAATATCCCAACTGGGATATAAATTACAGTGCAAAAAATGAAGGTTTTTTTTTCCATTTAGCTATAAATATAAATCCAATTCAAAATACTTTGAAAAGCAATAACTTTTGGTTAACAAGTTTCTCTGTATCCCCAATGTATAGGAGATCTATGCTGAGGAAGATTCTAAAATTCTTTGGTATCAATCTCACAAAGTGAATGAAACTAGGAATATAGAAAACCATGCCAGCAAAAAGTTATTGCATATAATATATATTTATGTGGAGTTACAATATTTGTAGCCAAAATATTATTTTCATTTTTTGCACTGTAAATATCCCATTTGGGATATTTTACCCTAAATATCCCATTTGGGATATTTTACCCCAAACAGACTATTATATCCCATTTGAGCTAAAGTATAAATTTGCTCTAATTGAATTTAACTGCCAAACCATTTTCAAATTTACAATGGCATGAATTTCAGAGTTCTAAGAAGATTACAACACAAGGATCCAACGCTGATAGATACAGATTACTGCTTTCAGATGGTGTCGTTAGTTACTCACGTAAGATACCTACCAAATACACTTTGGTCCTAGAAAACTACTATATTTAGTAAAATTATTAAGTATATATTGTGCACAAATAAGTGAACACTAACAATCACCCCAACATATCATGTTCTATTCATTATTTTAATAAAAGTGTTGTCTTATGAGTAAGAGAAAAACCATTTATGCGAAATATTTTAGGTCATCTTGATCCTAATGAAATTCCATGGCATTCAGTATTGAAATTTTTTTCTTTTAACTTTATTTTAAACTTTTCAGCTCATTTACAGTTTTTAGCTCACCTGAGCCGAAGGCTCATGTGAGCTTTTTTGATCGAAATTTGTCCGTTGTCGTCGTCGTCATAAACTTTTCACATTTTCATCTTCTTCTCAAGAACCACTGGGCCAATTTCAACCAAACTTGCCACAAAGTTTCCTTGGGTAAATGGGATTCAAGTTTGTTCAATTGAAGGGTTACGCCTTCTTCCAAGGGGAGATAATTATGAATTTGTGAAAAATTAATGGCATCATTTAAAAATCTTCTTCTCAAGAACCACTGTGCTTGAAAATACGAAACTTATGTGGAAGCATCCTCAGGTAGTGTAGATTCAAATTTGTTCAAATCATGACCCCCGGGGGTAGGATGGGGCCACAATGGGCGATCAAAGTTTTACATTGGAATACATAGGAAAAATGTTTAAAAATCTTCTTCTCAAGAACAGCAAAGCCATGATTAGTCATATTTATATGGAAGCATCCTCAGGTAGTGTATATTCAAGTTTGTTCAAATCATGACCCCCGGGGGTAGGGTGGGGCCACAAAAGGGAATCCAAGTTTTACATTGAAATATGTAGAAAAAAATCTTTAAAAATCTTCTTCTCAAGAACCACTGAGCAAGAAAAGCTGAAACTTAAGTGGAAGCATCCTGGAGTAGTGTAGATTCTAATTGTTCAAATTGACCCCTTGGGGTAGGGCGGGGCCACAGTAAGTACTACAAGGGTGGGAAATCAGGTGAAAAACAGCAAGCCAAAGTTACTCATTGAGAGTTGCGGCCCATGGGCCTCTCGTTTAAATTCAGAATGGAGCAGTTTTCATCCAAATTTTTAATTTTACAGATGCCATGTTGGCCACACAATTGAACAGTTTAATGGAATCAGGAGAGTTAGATAATTTAGCAGTCGTACAAGTAGATAAGTTCCTATGCAACACCATACAAGGAGACAGGTAAAGTGATAATCCTTAGGGATGAGAAGTGGAAATATATATGTACAAAATTTAGTGAAAATAACTTGAATAATTCAATGTGATTAATTACAAGTAATTGAGAACTGAATTTGACCCTCCTAGTTTGTTACCATGATTTACATAAATAACAAACCAATATTATATAAAGGAAGAAAAGGTGGTTCTTTTTTTTTTTTTTTAAAGACACTTCTTCCTGATTCCCAGCAGTTAGAAAGTGTTACCATACTTCAGATAACTCATATTTCTACCCTGTGTGATATTCTAAAGTAATAAAATTAAAGGACAAAGATGTAACAGTCTGAAGTAATTAGATTTAAGGACATAGTAGCATGTACAGATCAGTAAAGAGCGGAAAGAGTCTTGGAATCAAATAAAGCAAAATATATGCAGGGTTGGAAAATCTTGACACACACTAGTGCTATATCCTACCTCATGTATATACAATTTCTCTAGATTCCATTAGGAGATCATTTTCATAATGGATAATGGTTTATTTACATCCAAAAATATCCCCATAAGTCATTGAAAGCTGTTATGTACATTCATATTGTTGAAATATTGGATGTAATTAAGAGAACTTGATGTATTGCAGACGTGTGTTGATCATATTGGATTTGCATGTTCTACACAAGGGTTCACAAGTTGGACAGAGATTAGGAAATCCTCAACAATACAAGGCAGGAGCTGTTCAAGGCACAGAATCGGAACATAGTAAGGAAGTCATAGGTTTTGATTTTTTTTTTTTTTTTTTGGTGTTAACAGTTCTTTATGATGATAATCCTTTGTTGCAACATTTATTTTTCTTTTACCCAAAAATATTCGAGGCATATAACTATATTAATTGGGAGAAATCTATATAAGGCTTAGTCTGAGTGTGATCCCATTGATATTTTTTTGATTATTTTTACTTAAAGATGTTTAATCTGAACAAAAATAGCTTAAAATACCAGATATCATAAATTTTTCAAAATTGAGGGAAAAAGATCACAGATTCTGTTTAAGATTGATTTTATATATCTATACATAAATAAAACGAAAGTTTGAGGTGGCATACACCAGTGTATACATGTATATTTTTTTTTTCATTTATTCAATTTGTATACACTAAGTAAAACAGAGAAAATGAAGTTTGTACATATTTTTATCCCCCTTTATATAAAACTTATATTGATTTTTCTCTTTGTAGATTCTGCACAGTGTCCCCCTCAGATGCCAAAGCAGGAGGGAGTGGGTCAAAGCTTTATTGGTAAATGTCATTTCAGTTTCAGTACTTGTACAAATATTGTAACATATATATCATTTTTGTTCATACCAGAAAAGAAAATTGAGATGTATTTGTATCAGATTCAAATTTTTAATTTTAGGGTCTGTGTCGGAAAAGCAGGTCAACAACAATGTACAGAAAGGTATTTTATTTTCAAGGATTACACTGAATACATTTATGTGAATAGAGAGAAATATGTATTTAAAGATACATACTAGTATAGAAAACTCATTAAATAAAAATAGATATGTGTATATTCTGTGTAAAGGTATTGATTCGAAGTTTAAACATTTCTTTTCTGCTTGACCTGATAGTGACAAATGCGGGGAATGTGAATGGAGCACCCAAAGGCAACTACTCCCTGAAAGCCAACACACCTGGGGGTACACCTGGAGGCTCAACAAAGGTGCACAAGATAGATAGTCTCACACCATACCAAAACAGGTAAGTATCTACAAGATAAACAGTCTCAAACCTTACCAAACCATGAATGTGTGTGTTAGGGGGGAAATGCTTTATTCATGTGAAGTTCTATTAAGTTGATTATTTATTGGAATTTATCAAGTAAGCAGGGATGTCTTCTGTCAAGTAAAAGTAAGCAAGGGTTTTTACTGTTACAGAAATTCTGTATTTATCCCGGTTCCGAGTAAGAATAGATTTCACACCTCTAATACCAAAAAGTTTCTGGACAGATATATGTTTGTTCCTTTAGAAAACATTTCTTCTATTTTATAATTAATGAGCAATTGCAACATAATGACCAGAGTGTATGTGTTAGGGATAAAATTTGACCATAGTCTACATATTGAGGGTAAAATTATCTCTGTGCTGAAATATATAAATTGTAAAAGAAATACATCTAAGTAAGAAAAAGAGTGAAATAATGGATACATGTACTTTCAGATGGAGAATTAGAGCTCGTGTAACTCAGAAAAGTGGAATCAGAACCTGGTCTAATTCCCGGGGGGAGGGGAAGCTATTCAGTGTCACCCTAACTGATGACTCTGCAGAAATCAGGGCCACAGGATTCAATGATGCTGTTGATAAATTTTACGATTTACTGGAGGTCAACAAGGTAAATGCCAAATGAATAATCGGATAAATGTGAACAACTGAACTTGTTCAACCTTTAATTGTCATCTATTAATATCATTCATTATTGATCAGCTACATGTAGTTGTTCATAGATTTTTTTTCTGAGGAGAGCTCTATTTTCAGGTGTATTACTTCAGTAAAGCCTCCCTGAAAACAGCCAACAAGCAGTACACAACTGTCCAGAATGATTACGAGATGACATTTAATGCAGACACAATGATTGAACCTTGTGATGATGACAGCAGCCTACCTACAATGAATTTCAACTTTGTCAAAATCAATGAACTGGACAGCAAAGCTCCAAATTCTCTTGTCGGTGTGTTGAACTTAAAATTGTTCTTTTTTTCCTTGTCAATATATTATTTTAATCTAATACATGCAAGTATTTATTACACAGAAAGAAATAATAATAAAGCTTTGGGGGGAAAAAAATTATTTTATTTGAGAGTGAATGCAATGAATCTGTTTTATTTTGAGAAGGAATGCAATAAAAAAGTACTGTTCATGCAACAGAGATTGAAGTGAGTGATGCTGTTTATATTTGGTGTAAAATATTTGCTGTTTTGATAGATGTAATTGGTGTAGTGAAGACCTGTGGGGATGTGAGCACTATTATTGGTAAACAGAGTAAAAAAGAGATCACCAAGAGGGATCTACAACTTGTGGACCAGTCTGGGATGTCGGTCAACATGACACTCTGGGGGGCTGATGTAAGTAAAATTAGGTTACTTTGTGTAGCTGGTGGAGAAAATTATATAAGTAGAATAACAGAACTGTATGTATATGAAGGAAAAAATATCATAAATAGTCTATGTTCTGAAAAAAAGTGATGGTGAAACACTTTTTGTGAATTTTGAGAGATTAATGCTGTTAGTATTTTACTCTTGCAGGCTCAGCAGTTTGATGGTTCAGGCAATCCTGTTTTGGCTGTCAAAGGAGCAAAGGTCTCGGACTATGGAGGTAAGATTTTTAGTGCTGAAAGTAAACTGTTATTGTAGATGTTGTTGTATTCCCTGCCTCATTACTCCTTGCACGTGTTGGTAGATTTCAGATGTATGTTATTGATTCTTGAACAGAAAACTGTGTGAAGGGATCTTTTTCTGTACTTTCTGTTGATTATTTTTTTGTCAACCATGGAAAGTATACTAGATATTGAAATTGGAAAAACTCTGATTTTAGGTCGCTCCCTGTCTGCAATGGCTTCCAGTCAGATCATCCACAACCCAGACCTTCGGGAGGGACACATGCTGAAAGGCTGGTTTGAACATGATGGCCACAATATGGATTTCCAGGGCTTCAGAAATGATGGCATGGGAGGGGGTGGAGGAGGTATGGCTTGCATGAACATTTCATTGAATGTGGAGGCTTACAAAAACACCAAGACTCAAGAGTTTGACTGATACATTTAATTAACATCAACTGTTAATTGAGTTGGACTCTGTGCAAAATTGGATAAGATCTCAAAAATTGATTCTGGACTTAAACTTTAGGGATTAAGTGCAATGCACAATAACTTTGCATTATCTTGTTAATGCACTAAAACTTTTCAAGAACACTGATATGTATTTTGTCATTACAGGTTCAACAAATTGGAAGAGCTTTGCAGAGATCAAGTCTGAAAACATTGGTGCAGATAAGCCAGAATACTTCACTACCAAAGCCACAGTTCTCTTTTTACGAAAAGAAAATTGCATGTACCAGGTAAGAAATTTACAAAGTCTGAAGAAGGCAAAAGAACATATCTGAATGAAAAATTTGATGTATGGTACTTTGAATTGCATTTCATAATATGGGTATTGTTTTAATATTGAAGGCATGTCCTACAGAATCTTGCAATAAGAAGGTTGTGGACCAGGGAAATGGAATGTACAGGTGTGAGAAGTGTGCTAGAGAGTTCCCCAATTACAAGTGGAGGATGATTTTATCGGTAAGGGTACGGGCATGTGAGAAGTGGGATAGGGAGTTCCTTAATTATAAGTGGAGGATGATTCTATTGGTATGGGTATGTGTGTGAGAAGTGAGATAGAGAGTTCTCTAATTATAAGTGGAGGATGATTCTATTGGTATGGGTACATTTGTAAGGGTGTGAGAAGTGAGATAGAGAGTTCCCTAATTACAAGTGGAGGATTATTCTATCGGTATGGGTATGGGTGTGAGAAGTGGGCTAGAGAGTTCCCTAATTATAAGTGGAGGATGAATCTATTGGTAAAGGTACAGGTTTGAGAAGAGGGCTAGAGAGTTCCCTAGTGATTCTATCGGTATGGGTAAGAAGTGGGTTAGAGAGTTCCCTAATTATAAGTGGAGGATGATTCTATCGGTATGGGTATGGATGTGAGAAGTGGGATAGAGAGTTTGGAGGATGATTCTTTTTGGTATGGGTATAGGTGTGAGAAGTGGGCTAGAGAGTTCCCTAATTATAAGTGGAGGATGATTCTATCGGTATGGGTATGGATGTGAGAAGTGGGCTAGAGAGTTTCCTAATTATACCCCTTGCAAACGAAGTTTAGGGGGGTATTTTGGAATCAGCTTGTCCTTCTGTCTGTAGATGAGATTTTGTCCGGACCATTTCTTGGAAACTGTTGCAAGGATTTCTCTGAAAATTTCTTCATTTTTATTACTTGGTTTTGTTTGGATCTGTTCCCAGAGACTATTGCATAGATTAGTATGAAAATTTGTACACTTATTATTTACCATATGAAGATGTGCACTTGGTATTTTCAACATTATTTGATAATTTTTCTGCATTTTACAGGTGTTTTTTTTTTCATTTTTATTGACTTAGTCATTTCGGGTTCATGTCTAAGGTTTGAGACATAGAATCTAGAACATCTGTACTAAAATGTGAACTACAGCTTAAAACAACTCATTAGAATTAAAAAAAAAATCACAAAGTATTAAAAACAGTTTTTACATTACACAGCAGATAGTGGAAATCCATTTGTCCCTTGGGAGTAATGAGTGGACATGCATCCAGTTAAAGATTAATTAATGAGTTCAGTGTGGGAAGCTCAGATCAAGCAGGTCTTATCTATATCTCCTGGGAATTGGGCAGAAAGAAATAAAGATCTCTGTTGTCTAAGTCTCTTAATTGTAATTTATGTCTGTCAAAATACATAGTTACTGGAACCAGCCTTTTATTTTTAAAATGAGTTTCATATAAAGGTATTAAGATCAATTTAATTTTGTATAATTAATTATGATAATTTTTTTTCAACAATCAATTTGCAGAGTGTCATGTCTCACAAAGATGACAGATAGTTGCAAACTATTTTTTCAATGTAATAAAAAACATCGTAATGATTAGTATTGATGTTTTATTAGGCTGCACCTTAGTTTCATTCATTAAAAAAATATGAGTAATTAAATTTTCACTCTAAATGTTTAAGCAAATTGTGAACACCTCTCACATCTAGAAAATATTAGTGATTTGGTACCTTCTCTGAAAAACCCAGCGGGGGGTATTTGTCCCTTTTGGACAGTTCTAGTTATAAGTGGTAGATGATTGATCATGATTCTATTGGTATGGGTATGGGTGTGAGAAGTGGGTGATAGAGTTCCCTAATTACAAACGGAGGATGATTTAATCAGTAAGGATGCAGAATCATGTCATTAAACATCCATAAGCTATAATGTTCAGATTGATAATAGATGTAGTTGTAGTAGCTTACTTATAATAATGGAACATTATATTTGTTAATGTTTCTGGAAGAAATGTTTGGTATATTATGTACATAATTGAAAGAAATTTGTTATTTTAGGCAAACTTAGGTGATTACTCGGACAACCAGTGGGTGACCTGTTTCCAGGAATCTGCTGAGGCCATGTTAGGTGTCAGCGCTGATGATCTAGGATCTCTCAAAGACTCTGTAAGAGTTATAAATCAAGTGGAAATTCAAAAACATTTATCAGCCTGCACCAGATATTGTATACAGTTTACAAAAAGTACACATCCAGATATCCATGAAATTTATCATGCTAATTATAATATTTTGATATACGTTAAAGAATTTATCCTCTGTGTTTTCATAACAGAGGTGTTTTTTATTTTTTTCCCAATTTTTCTCAGTAATGAGTACATTCTATTCTGCAAAGGAAGTCAATTTTTTCTTGTCTTTCAGAATGAATCAGCATTTGATCAAGTGTTCCAAGATGCCCTTTTCAAGTCCTACATCTTTAAACTGAGAGCAAAAGTGGAAACTTATAATGTAATTTTAAGAGTCATTTTGCTTTGATTTTAAGAGGATACAAATGAAGTACATGACACATTTTTCTGTATCAGAAAATTTTGAAATGGAATTGTTCTGTAACAAATGAATAATATTTGTCTCTCTTTAATACAGGATGAAAGTAGGTTGAAGACAGTGACAATGAATGCCGGTACAATTGATTTCAAAGAACAATCACAGAGACTGATAGAGGAGATCAAAAGATTACAGATGTGAAAGTCACACATCAGTCATCCATAGTGTTGCTGTTAATGAAGTATTTGAAGATGATGATTGACATCTTTGTATTTACATGTGTACATGATGTAAATTTCATTTGCGAGAATAACCTTAAATTTCTTATTCTTTGGGCATTGGTTCTTTAGCGAGTTTATTTTACAGTTAGTGTGTAACATTGTGTTAACATGGGATATAGGGTCTGGAGAAGAAATTCTGAATCAGTCAGAAAACTGTTAGTGTATTATTATTATTATTATTATCTTCATCGAAAATCTGGATGATTAAGGCAAGCAATCTAGGGGATTTTTTTTAGTTTTAATTTTGTTTTTCATGAAAAAATGATACAAACCAGTAAATACTTAACCATTTATTAATTTTTCAGTTTACAAGAGATCGTAGGAATAAAAAAAACTTAGTACATGTATCCTAAAAATATCATCGAACAATTTTCATTAGTGGTGTAATTTAACAAATACATGTAGTATATTCATTATCAATATCAGTGCAGTTATGATATAAATTGATTTGTCGCTAGTATGTTTGAAGGAAGGAATTAGGAATGGGGCTGTTTTTGGATACATTATTGTATCGTGATTTAAGGTTCAGTGATGAAAGTATTGAGACAGAGTATCAAGCATTTTGTATCATTGCTGTGACTGTATTGTGAGGATACCTCTATTGTCCCAGTCCTAGAAGGAACTGTAGAATGTTGAAAAAGCTGTAACATCTCCTTTATGTTAAACCTGTCACTGATTTCCTTTGGACAAATTGCATTGAAGTAAGGCATGGAAAAGATTTATTGAAAAGTTTTTATTTGTATAAACAAAGAAAGAACTGAAATAAATTATTGAAGTAACATGTTTTCGTGATTGTAACTGAGTGTAAACACTTCGCAAGTAACAGCTTGTCCACCTTTTTCTACTTAGAAAATATTTCTCGCTATTCCAGTGATGTTGGTATTACACTTGGAAAATAAAATTCATATTGATAGTGTATTGATTGACTTCAGTAATTCTTATTGAAGAACTACTTGTTATGTTATTTTGAAGTATATCATATACACTTTTCCCAATAGGAAGGCCTCTTTGTTTGGCAAGGTGAATTATGATTGCATTTCGTTGACATTGAAGCCTTGTGTTATTCTGGAGAAGTCTTTACTGAGTGATTTAATGGACTGCACGGCCTCTCTTGTGGAGATAGGTTTTACTTGACTTGTACCAGGCAGGCCTCGTCTTTTGGCATCAAGAGCCAACAAGTGACTCACTTTAGAATTAATCTTGGAACATTCTTCACTCCTTTCTTGGATTCTCATCAGCTTTTCATGTTCATAGACCTAAATTTGAAAAAAAAAAAATCAGTCCACTGCATGAAGAGTACCCTTTTTAAGGCCCACCATAAATATGGCTGCGTATATAGTGTTTGTCATGTCTGTCTTTTGTCCTTCCATTTGTCCATCCATCACACTTGACATTTAGCTCAGTTTCAGAGATACTGTTCAAGTTATTTTAAAGTTGCATAATGAGTCAAAACCATGTGTTTCTTTTAAGAAAATTGTATCACAAAACAAAAGATTTCTGTGAAATATGAATATAGCGAAGTTTTGACAATTCAACTGCACTGTAAAGCAAGAAAAAAACTGCATAAGTGCCGGAAAAACAAATGTATCTATCGCTTTGTTTTTATCGTCAATGTCAACAATGTCAAGGTCACGCGTCCTTTATTTTTAGCGTGAAACTTGTAAACAACATTGAATTGGGGCAAGCAGAAGTAAGGAATAAGTTATGATCATCTTTTTTGAAGATTATATCAAAATTCTCAGTCATCCGACATTTATACCTATGGAATTGAAACCATGGTAAATTCTTCAACTTTTCAGTGCATGCGTACAATAAAGAGGAAGAAGTGAAGCAATATTTTTGTGATGGGTTATACAAAGATTTGTTTTACTTTTATTTTTCTACATTAAATTAGATTTTTTAGGTTCTGAAACCTGTAATTTTCTGAAACCTAATATCTTCAAGAACTGAACAAAATTTGCATTTATCATGCAAAAATTCTACTGTTGTCAATTTTCCCGTTTGTCCGTCACAGTGTCACTTTAACCAGAATTTATACACTGATACAGAGCTAATAAATTGTGGCATAATTTTCTGACCTTGACGTCACTATTCTTTCTTAAGTCTCAAAGCAATTATTTTATAGATGTTTATATCATAACTCGTACGCTGAAACATATTGGTGGGAGGTATTCAACTCATAATTTTCTTAGTTTGACCTTTCCTATGACCTTGACCTTACTATTACATATTTTGCCTTTAGCAGATCTATAGAGTTTAGAAGAAACTTCAAAATATTTTAATCAAAACTTCATACATTGATTGTATTGGTAGGGACCAACGTTAATTCAACTATCATAAAATTTTTATAGCTTGGTCTTCCCTACGACTTTGACTCTAATCCTAAAAGTAAGATTCTTTGTTATCATTCATGTGGACACCCCTCTTCTTACCCAAATAAATAATAAAAATAGTAAGAGATCATAATTTCTCAAAAATATGAGATTTTCCCGTCAATCATATCCACAACGTACAATCTGCTCTCATAGAACGAAATATGGATGCGATTGAATGGAAATATAATATTTTTGAGAGGCTATGAGCTCTTACTATTTTTTTTTTTATTTAAACAATACTATTTTATGCTTTACATTGGAAGAAAATGAGTACGTCAGTTATAGACCTTGAAGCCTACGAAGTTTTTACAATAATATCGATACCTTTCGTCTCTCCTCTGCAGCAATTTGTTTGGCCTTTATTTCTTCTTGTGTGGTGTGACGGCGTTGATATTTTGTTAATCTTTGAGGAGGTTCAGATTTACGACTGGGAGATCCCATTTCCACATCAAACGAGGTATATTTACAGTCTTCTTCCATTTTTTAAAAGCGTGGGCTGTCGGTTGTTTAGGACGCTATTTATAAAATATCAACATCCGGTTGAAATAAGCACAACTTCCGGGCAGCATGTTAGCATGGAAAATGACATTGAAAAGGGAGATGTAGATTTCTTTAGAGATACACACGTGCGTTACCTAGGTACAGTATCTTTTTATTATCCCTTGAACGTCAAAATAAGACGACAAAAGCACATACAGAACATGTATTTTATTTTCTGCCAATCAATGAAAGCAGAACTTTTTATAAATTGCAGGATACAGTAATGAAGTAGGCGAGGCATTTCGTGCCCAGGTTCCCGTCAAATGGGTCTACCTCAGTTATGTTGTAGCTAGTGGTTATGTGGTGGCGGATGCCATACATAAAGGCTGGGAAACATCTCAGGTAATCAGGGGCACAGACCATCTCTATTGTAATTACCTTCTTTCCATCAGTTTTAAATTAAGATTTTATGGAAGTTTGAAGGAATAAGTATTGGCTAGATCAGAAAACCTAAAACTCTCCCAGATCTTTTGACCAGATTTCAATAATTGGACCTTATTACTTAGGGGCCAGTGAATACATTAGAAGGGTCATTTTGGAAAACAATTTTTCATGCACAATACTGAAAAATAATAACCGTTTTCCTCCAGTCGATAGATATATTTCCGCATCAACAGGGAAGTACACCCTAAGTATAAATAAAGCATCAAGACCATAAACTGAGAACAGACTTTCAAATTGATGTAACTGTTAAAATGATTTTGAGAATCAAACAGAATATATTTAATTTTCAACTGCGTTTGCATTTGAATATTCTAGGCTAAAATGCAATTTTTCAAACACGTACATGAAACAAGGCCCGTAGGAAGCAATTTCAGTTGGGGGGGGGGGGGGGAGGGCACAGCCATACATTTTCAGTTGAGGGGGCACTATCAACTACCAAAAATTTCTTGACAAGCAAAAAAAAAAAAAAAAAAAATGCCCCCTCCCCCGGTTCCTACGGCCATGTGAAATAAAAGTTAAGATATTCAAAATCAAAATTTTGACTTCAGCCTGTTCTCAATTTAATGTCTTGAGGCCAGAAACATCAGTAACAAATGATGTTATTTACTGTAAATCTTCAATTTCAATTATAAAAAAATCTGCATGCTTAATTGTACAATGTTTCTTGTATATTTTAATCAGAAGTCATTTGAAGACGAACGTAAGAAGAGACTACGTGTTGGATGGGCAATCGTAGACACACTAATCTGGCAGGGTCTGGCGTCTGTCGCTATCCCAGGATTCACCATCAACCGCATCTGTACGTACACCGAGGTACTTCTGAAGAAAGCCACCACGTGGCCTGGACCAACCAGAAAGTGGACCACCACTGCCGTCGGGCTTCTCTCCATTCCTTTCATCATTAAACCTATAGATAGGTCAGTTGACTATCTGATGGAAAACACTCTAAGGAAATGGTATGTTGGGCCAGTCCTGAAGAACGTGGTCCATCACAAGAGAAGCGACTGACAAAAGGAAGGCCGAAAATAATACTCTTTCACTACATGTTACTCTCGAGAATTTTCAAGTTTTAGATTCATTTGGTAGATTATTTTCCCACTGAGCAAAAACAAACAAACAAACGATGACTTTCAAGAATAAAATGGTCACAATTTTATGGACAGTGATACAAAGTACACATGTCTTAGGTCATACTAGTATCTCCTCTGAGGTGACTTCGACTTAAAGAAAGAGCTCTTGGATTTTTTTTATTTGGTTTGACAAGCCTGATATTGGGATCAAGATCTATAGGGGATGATTAATTATTGTGTACCGATGACTGAGAAAGGCAGATAACAAAGATATGACCTCGTGTGACCTTTGCTTAGACCACGAATGTTTGTCCAGTTGGACATAAAAGTGTCATTATCAGCATTTAAATAATCAGTCTCAATGAACGAGGATAACTCAGTGGTTTATTTCTTTTTATATATTTTTTCTTTTACATCTGAAATATCATTTGAAACTATTTTTTTTTCTAGTTTTATTTCTGTTGTAGGTAAAAAAAAAGTTTTCCTCTACATTTTGTTCATATAAACGTGTTCTTATTTTTATTTCCTCCTTTATTGAACTAAATTTTTGTTGCTTTCAAATACTCTTACTGAGATAATCGTGTTCAATCAGGTTTTGATCTTTTATTGTTTTTGATTATTCAGTATTAAAATTCCTGTTTTTATATTTCTTGCAACTAGTTGATCAAATAAAGTCTTGTTAATAAATCGCTTTATTCGAACGTTTTTAATATGTGCACCACATTACACTCAGTTAACAATTTGTTGTCGGCAATATTGCAAATCTAAAACACATAAATTCAGTCAAATGAAATACGGTATGCGGTTGAACCACAGGCTATTAGATCGCTTTATATTTTTAAAGTCGGATTTAAGCGATCCAAAGGCCTGTGGGTTGAAGCAGAACAAATCTGCTTTCAGAGGTAGAATAACAACACAGTCTCGAAAACAACGATAAAAGTAACGCTTCTTAGTTTCCTTCCGAGTCTGACGTGTCCAATGAATTGGATGGGAGTATTTTGTGGATTTTCCTCCTTTAAATGTTTAGCTTTATCCTTTACATATCATCTACAAAATAAAATATATATATATATATATATATATATATATATATATATATATATATATATATATATATATATATATATATATACTTCGACCATCTTTGCAAAATGTTTGCTTGCTCTCATCCGACTCAGGATAAAATAAATGAATAGGTTGAATTTTGAAAAAAATGTTTCTAGGAGGTTAAAAAAAGTTTGAGTCGGGCCCTTTTTAACCATTCGGTCGGGAGAGGACAAACAAACTTTTTTTTAAAGATGTCCTTTCGGGATTCTTTTTTTTTTGTTGTTGTTGCAAGCAAGAAAATTTTGCACAATTTTAGTTTTTAAACGATATTTAATCATAAAGTGCGTGTATCAATTAGATTGTGTAATTTAATTATCAAAAAGTAGTAAAACATTTTTCAGACAAAATTTAGTTGATCTTTTATACTACATCTAATACATGTATTTGTGATTTCGATTGCTCACTTGGAAACTTACAAAATATATATACTGTCATGCAGGTTAAACCCCTACAAGTATATAAATACCTCCAAATACGGATACGTTTGTTCCAGGGATGACCCTCCTTTTGGACACGTTGGAGAATATTTTCTTCATTGATGGACGATGCTCAATAATAGTTGTTGCAAGGGAAGTCATAGTGAAGTCTTTAGGGTAGAACATATATGCCATCAATGACAGGACGTCATCAGAATTAAAGTTGATCCCCGTCATTTTGGTTTTGGCGGGGAGGATGGCCGTAGTTAGCAGCAAGTCAGCCGGCATAAGTAGATTCCCGACAAAAGGCAGGGGCATACTTAAGGTGTTATCGGAATTTCCATAATCTGCAATATTAAAAAAAAAAATTTAAACATTTTTAGTGTCAGAAATTGGAGGGGCTAGATTGATGGTTGAAAGCAGACATGTTTCTCATAGGATCGACGAAAACCCCACTAGAAACTATGCCGAAGTCGCCATGAACTTACTGTAACTGTAACCAGAGACTGAAGGTCCAAGATACAAACTCAAAAGAAATAGGAAAACGGCCATTAGTTTGACTTCCTTCACGAGAATCCTTACATTCTGAAATTGGTCAAGAATGAATTAATTATTTGTCAAATGATTTTTAAGTTCATACACCTGTTTATATACCGTGTAATGATTGTTGGCAGTGCTGTGCACTGACAAACAAGGAAGAACAGTTGACCACTAATTATATAGTTTTTTATTTCACAATAAAAACAATGAATGTTGATACGAAAATATTTACATTTCCAATGTCTTTGTCCGAGATAAAATTACAAATTGTAAAAATACTTTATTTCTACATAAATCTACTGGTTCATCGATAGGCGCGGTTAAAAAAAATCACGTGCGGGGCGGGACAAATAGAGACAGAAGCGGGGCTATTAGCACGGGAATTTGCAGAATCAGGAGCATGTAAATATAAGGAATAACTGTCAGATTTTTTGGATTCATGACGATGATCAATCGATTGGCTTGCGTGATAATTTTATGCATAAACGCCTTCGGCGTTTATGCAAATTATCACGCAAGCCACTCGATTGATCACATCATGAATCCAAAAAATTAGACAGTTATTCCTTAATTCACGTGAACAGTGAATGGGAATATATACCAAATGATATACATGTATATTATGTAGAACTAGTTAATTCTTAGCCAATATTTTAGTGATTCTAGTAGATATAAAATAAATATTTTGAAAGGATGTTAAAGACAATTTTCTCGAAAAAGTGGGGTTTTTTTATCATACACAAGCGATAAATACAATATATTATTAAAATTGTAGACCAGATCACTTAAAAAAGCTTAATTATTTTCATCTTTATTTATCTAGTGTGTAAAAAATAAGTAGTAAACATTTTTAAAGTCATAACAGAAATTGGAAATAACAATTGCCCCAATAGAACAGGTTTAGAATGCACATGTTAAAATAAGAATTTTAATGTTAATTGACTCCATCAATAAAATTTCTAGTAATTTCCACAGAACAAAGAAACGATTCCTAATTGTTCCAGTCAAATTACTTTTCAAATGACACATTCTTTAGCAGTTTTTTAGTTGATTGACCATTTACTCTTTGTTTTGATGAATTGGTCATGGGACAAATGAAATATGTCATTTATATGTAGTCTTGAAAAGAAGATATATAAGAACAAGCTACCTCCTATAGATAAAAAACGAAAGTTAAATAAGAAATTAAGAAGATTATATCTCAGACAAGGATACCAAACTAAGAATGAAATCCGGAACATTTTTCTTTTTGATGCTTCTGAATTTTTACTGTGTTTGCGCAACTTATAAAGGTAAATACTAGTACATTGTATGCATAACCTTAAAAGCGAATTAGTTTTTTTTTCATAATAATATACTGAAATAGATTCACTGAAAGGTAAAAGCATAATCTGTACTTAATTATCGTTATTTCATTTCAGTATATTATTTCCCTCCAACAAAAGACTACAAGAAGAAATGGAATAAATCCGATTTACTCCCACAAATGCAGAGACCTTCTGCAATGTCATCATCTGCCGTTTCTGACGCTGGTACTGTTGCTATGGGAACTGGGATGTCTCTTTCAAACATGATGTCCATGCTGTCTAATCCAGTCCAAAGCAGCATACTCTCTGGTATGGCAAACTCTGTCAGACGTGATATGACGTCATCAATGCCCAACAACGTAGCTAACCCTACAGGAATGACTGCCTCAGTGATGTCTGCAATGACAAATCCAATAATTTCCACGATGACAAATCCAATGATGTCCACGATGTCAAATCCGATGTCATCAATGACGAATCAGATGAGGTCGATGATGACCTCTCCGTTGACGTCGACGACAAATAATCCAATGATGTCATCGATGATTACTAGAATGATGACTGGAATTTCAAACTCGATGTCAGGAACAAATAACCTATTGTTTAACTCCATGATGCCCACTACCCGGACCGATTCAACCTTGCGTGTTCCAAGTGCAGACGAAATACTGAGTTCCGCCATGATGGAAGCCGTTGGACAATCTACCATGCAGTCATTTCTAGCGGGAAACCAACTCAGTAGGTTTTTCGGATCAAGCTATTTTTGAAGATATATATATACAAGTTACTGTGTCGTTTTTTTATTGAAAAGTTTTTGATCAGCAGTTTATGCTGCACATGTATGTGGCTGTATCTCTATGTTCAGTGTTAATTACAGGTGCTTAATCCGGTGAAAATCCTCTTATGAAAACAGGATAACTGGATCCAGTTGTTAAATAAATATACTTAATACAGAAATAAATTTGATGTAGATTCTTCTAATGTTGTCATTCTTTTTATAAATGACGACACAATGTGTTTGTCATGTTTTTAGAATGCGTTATTTTTCAGTTTTAAATAAGAAACATCTTGAATTATAATGTTTTCTAAAAACAGAAAAAATCTTTTTCATTGAATCCAAGATTCAAACTGAATGAATGTACTAACCGTAAAGTTGTCTATACTAAAGATACCTGGCTCCATGATCATGAAGCAGTCTTAGACTTAAAAGCAATATGCGAATCATCTATCCTTCGATTTCACTAAATCGGAGGTGATAAAAGAACGAGAAAGGCTACTTGAACAATATGTTATGGTTCCAGCAGACAAGGTTTGTAACAATCTCTTTGCTTGTAAGATTCATAATTATAATTTTATTTTAGAAAAACTTTTTAAAAATAATTTATTGCATTTTCAGTGTGTTTTTTTTTAAGCAAAGGTCTTTTTTGTTGACAAGATCACTTTTCAGACGACAAATTTCTTCTATTACTGACTGTAACTCTTTACATGTTCTTGGTTTACTTGGTGAGCTCATACTAGGAATGACTATGTTGCTTTCAGATTTACTACTTGTTCTTGTTGGTGGCATTTTACAGTTCTCAGTCTTCAGTTTTAAACATAAACACATACAGTGAAGCACAGTCACAAATCGATGTTTAAATGGCAGCAAAATAAACACAATTAAATATACTCACGAGCACATGTAGTACTGAATTTTGTAAATCCTTACATTGCTGGGTTCAGCACATGCTCTATCAAGCCCTTTCAAATATATAACTGCTATTAAGGGGAAACTTCAGACGTACTGTGCTACAGCATATTCTAGAAGTGGTGTAAATCAGATGTCGATTCTCAAAAGCCCCAAAGAACTTTTAGAAAATATAAAATCACAATTTTTTTCAAAAGTCAATAACATCAAAACGTACGAATTTTCTACACTTTATACCACCATTTCTCACGATAAATTAAAAACTAGACTTTTTGGTGTCATAGAAAACAGCTTCTTCAATAAAAATAGAACTTAGAAATTTTCGTATTTTGTCATTGGTCATCAACGAAATTACTTTATTAAAAATCACTCTGATTCTACACACAATTTCTCTGAAGATGATATTAAAAGGATATTGGTGTTCCTCACTGAAAACATTAATTTATGTAGTCTCGGAGACCAGGTCTTCCAACAAACTGTTAGAACTCGATTGGCAATAATTTTGCTCCTTTATTAGCAGACCTTTTTTATATTCATATGAAGCAGAATTTATTAAAAAAAAACAACTTCTACTTGAGAAGAAGAAAACACTTGCTGTGGCCTTCAAGTCGACATTCACAAACATCGACGACGTTTTATCAATTCCACGCATTTATATGATGACTCGAAATATCCCAGTGAACTCGAGACACCACAGAGTCTGTCACATTTCTTTCGTTTTGGATTTTTTACTATCTATAGACGATAAGGGCCAATTAACAACTAAGTGTATGACAAACGAGATGACCAGCTTTTCCAACTTTCCTTATTTATATGTAGTAGGTTGATCCAAAAAATAATGTCACAACTGCTACATAATCTTTAATAGGCGAAACTTACATCAACAAATTTTTTTTGTATAAATACCTCTATCTAATTTGACTTTTGCCTCAAAATTTCATTCAGATGTGTCCAATACTTTTTAAAGTTTTCAAATAAACACAACGTTAAGTCTCGTCTACGACGTCGTTATAACGTTTCTCTTCGGCACTCATTTACAGTTCATCCAAATATCTTTAGAATCTCTAACAGACGTTTTATTTCATGTACATTTCAAATAAGTTTTAAAATACAACTCAAACAAGACGCTTTATAGCAAAATGGCAAAAAAATACTTTTAACAAGATGTGTTTGTGAAACACCGATGCCCCGTATGGCAACTTATAGCAAAGGTTAAACTTTCTCAAATGCAAATCAAATATGTTGGTACCCAAAGTAAGGTCTTGTCTCGAGGAATAAACCTGTGAAATATGAAAGCCCTAGCAGCAACCATTGAATAGATATGGAAAAGGTTAAAGTTTTTTCAAAAGTATGTCAAACATCAAGGTCAAGGTAAAAATTAATGAAGCCCAAGGAAAGGCCTTCTCCCAAGAAATACACAGGTGAAATGTGAAAGCCGAAGCACCAATCGTTCAAAAGTTATGACCAAGGTTAAAGTTTTCCAAAATTAGGTCAAACTCCAAGGTCAAAGGGTCAAAATTGTTGGTATCCAAAGAAAGGCCTTCTCACAAGGATTACATATGTGAAGTATGAAAGCCCTAGCACCAGTTCTTCAAAAGTTATGGCCAAAGTTAAAGTTTGTTAAAATTTTGCTTAACTGGGTCAAACTCCAAGGTCAAGGTCAAAAGCTCAAATATGGCGGAACCTAAAGAAAGGTCTTTCACAAGGAATACACATGTGAAATATGAAAACCATAGCTCTAACCAATCAAAAGTTAGAGGCAAGGTTAAAGTTTTTGCGGAAAAACAGACAGACGGACGGACAGGGCAAAACTATATACCCCCCGATCTTCGATATGAGGGCATAAAAAGCATGTGTAAGGTTAAAAAGATTTGCAGATAAACTGAAAATGAGTGCCGAAAAATAACGTCATAATGACCTCAACAATATTCTTGCCGTGCGGCGATAGACAAATCCTGATTTTAAAAAGTATTATAAATAACTAAATGAAATTTAAGGTAAAAATTAAAATAAATAGGGGTGTTAGTGTCTAAAATTTTGTCTGTAAAAGATTTTATAGCATTTGTGAATTACTTTTGGATCAACCCTCGTTATATTCCGCTATCACCTCCGTAATGTGTTGACATCTCCCAAGTTATTCAAAACTCAAGATCATGCTCTGAGAACTATCAAATTTTAAACCGAGGCGGGCTACTAACAGATAAATTGATGTTACATGGATATCAACAACTTCGTTTAAAGGCATTTAGTAAATTCTATGCCCTTATAATGACCTTGTTACATGTAGCAAACATAACCTATCACTGGGTCGAATTTAAGCTGACGTGTTTTATACAAAATGTTAGAACTTTGGTTATTTTTATTTGACTACGGAATATTCCTACTACCTGATCAATACATAGGGCTCACAGCGAGTGAAACCGGTTAACAGGGGATGCTTACTCCTCCTATGCACCTGATCCCACCTTTCCGGGGGTTGAAAATTAAAATTTACAACACAAAAGGGAAAAAAAACCCATTTTTTATAACTTTTATAACAATTTTTGGGGATGTTTATAAAACAATCACTACTCCACGGAGGAAGATTTTCTGTGAAAAAAATAACAATTTCTGTAATTCTTCAAATAATGTCCCCTAATTTAGCAAGGGATGACAAAATGATTTTGCGATTTTTTTTTCTGTCCCCAAATCAAGAGAGATCTGGTCAGAAATAATCCAAACTTATTTAAAAAATTCTATTTCTCAAATTATTTTCTCCCTAAAATAAATAAATATTATGAGTTATGTACATATATACATCTTGATTTTTTTTGCCATGCTACAGGAGATCTCAGCACATTCTTTTCCATATCTTCAATAACTGTGAAACTTAACAAGATATGATGTGACATACATTCGCTTTGCACATATATTGCATGATAAACATCGCAACTTTTAATCAGTTTCATTTTTACTGTATACTGTACATATACTAGTAATTTTCCTTAGTATGTAGTGAACTTGATTTGTCATTGAGTTCTGTATAAATAATGGTAATTTCGATAGTTATCTTAGATGAATTATTTAAATTCTGTATCATTTAATTATGTAAGGTGAATTAAAATCTGTATCGTATCATGCGAACGCTATTTTGTTAGACCAAATTTACTTTAGTTTTTCGGATCTAATGGCAAAACAAGTTGCTAAGACTTTGAAAAAACTATGTATATTTATTTTAAAGATATATGATTTGAATTAGTTTATCTTGCATGATTTTCCCCCCTTATTATTAATCATAATTATATTTATTTATTTGTTTCTTTATTTTCATCCTCTATATTAATATTTCATGTACTTGTACCTCTGACCTGAATTTATGTTCTACTAATATTCTACATTGTCCTCATGTAACGTGTTTAAAATGGTTTTGGGAGAATAAATAAACTTGAACTATGATTAGAGAGTAAACTACATGATAAAAGTGTCATGTTCTAATTTTTATATTTACCACATCCAGGTAAATTAAAAATTAGACCGTAGCAAAAATCTGAATTTACACTTTTACACTTTGAATAGTTTTATTTACTTTAAATAAGAAAATACTGCTTCACGTACTACATCACCGTTTGCCCGTGAAGGGCTTCAAATTTAGATCTTCACTCGGCTTTCAGAGCCATTGAGAAGTGAAGGTTCTTTATCATGCCAACGCCTACCGTGACACAGGATCTCGGTTTTGTTAAGATATCATCCGAGAGACCCATGACTTTCAACTTCTAATGCCAGGTGTGTGGCTTACGTCTTAGATTTGATGCGGCGCGGAGAAAGAGAACCGAACCCGGGCCTCCCGATCACGAAACGAACACCAAACCAATAGGCTACCGTGACCGATTAAAAGAAGAGAAAAAGAAACTAAATTTTGTTTAAAATACCCTCTCCCCCCAAATGTCGCTGTTTTTTCTTCTCAATTAAAAAGTTTATTAAATGTACCGTTTCCGTTGCAAATTTGAGATACTCCTCCAAGAATTGTACTGTAAGAGACATGATGAAGAATCTTTCGTCCTCTCAATGACGACTTTTTGACAGGAATTCTACTTCACGTGCAAAGTTGACTTTTATTTTTATTCACTCTCACTACTACACTGTACTAGGGAATCTGCAAAAAATGTTGTCTGAAAATTTTCATATTCATTTGAAAAAAAGTTTATCCAACAGATGCAATATGCATTTTTTAGTGTTTAACATTATTTTAGGGACAGTAATAGCACACTGCTGAGGGAAAACTCACTGTAGACCCAGGTTCCATTCCTTGTCAGATTTCCTTTAAACTGACAGGGATGCTTTATGACAGAAAAATGATAATTAAGTCAAAGATGAGCTATTTTGACTAAAAGTTTTGATGTTTTCTGGCAAAATAAAGCTATCTTGGAGAATGTATCTTTTACTAGATTTTATGCAAACTATATAAGAAGGCGGATTTGGAAAATGTTTTGGATACAAAGTCTTTTTTAAAAAAAGGCTTATTTAAAATTTTCAAGAATTTTGACATGAAAATAATGGTAACATTTAAAGAAAAGCTATTTGAAAAAATTGACTTGATGAGCAAGTATATCATAGATATTTTTTGAATTAAGATACGAATTGCATCTAAAAGTAATTAAAAAATTTTTGAGAATGTTGAGAATGCAGATTTATGTGTATATTGAATATCTCAAATTAAGGAAATGATTTAGATAAGTTATACAGCAAAGATTTTAAGATTTTAAGGGCATATGTATGTCTCAAAAATATAATAATAATATAATAATAATAAAAATAATTATACATATATATATATATATATATATATATATATATATATATATATATATATATATATATATATATATATATATATATATATAAAGACAATTTGTTAAAATGTTAAGTTTTTCTTCCAGATTGACAACAGAGCACATAGGGAATCGATTTATTTATGTTAAGGACGCAAAATGATATTTATGTTCATTATTACTCAAATGCAAAAACCTATTGAACATAGAAGACACGTAGTTATAATTAATCGAATTGTATACCTAATTAAACTCTCTGATCGTTCGATGAAATTTGGCGAGGAGATTTTATAGTTATTGTCATTAATCATGAGATTAATACAAAACTTGACAGTCCAAAGAAAAAAATCATCACACTTGAATAAATCAAACTTTCCCTCGGCTGACCGAAATCCATTGTCCAAAACAAAATGACCAGAGCTGAAAAGAGTATATATAGTGGTTTCACAAAGAAATATGCATAATTTCGAATTCATTTATTTCCCTTCAACACAGCTTAAAAATTAAGGTAAACTTCGAAAATTTTCTATTCTTATTTTCACAAATAAAAATACTTGAAGTTTATGCTATTGGAATATGACTTTGTAGAAATGTTTGTTAACTGAAATCCTTGCTTAAATTTCAGATGAGATTATTCACTACTGTTCTCTTTTTGGCGCTGATGTGCTGTGTAATTGCTATTCCGAAACCAATGAAATTTCACAGTAAGTATCTTACGCTTTCTATCATAATTTCTTTTCTTTTCTTTCTTTTTCTTTTTTTTAAAGTTTTGCTGTTAGTAGTAATCTTTTGTATTTTGAAAAATGTATCAAAATTTTTATCTAATGTAACATTTTATGTAAAATCGGTATCAACGTAAACATTTCAATTTAGAAAAACGTCAGCGAGTCATGTCACAAGTTGCATCTAATCCATCAATGGCATCAGGATCTACAGTGGGCATGCGCGACTCCATTATTCCAGCCTCTTCTATGCCTAACGCCATGGCGGCCAACGCTATGACAAATGCCATGTCTTCTCCTTCTGCAGCAATGACGTCTCAAGGCATGCCGATGACCAATGTGATGGCCGGTTCAATGAATCCGTCTAGTGGCATGTTAAGCGGTTCTATGTCCACACCTCTTTTAAGAGACGCGGCGCAATTAGCAATGATGACTGGAACTTCCATGCCAGTGATCACTCAGATGATGACGACATCGCCGACCATGCGAACTGTCTTGTCTATGATGTCTAGACTAGCGGGAAACATGATGCCACGAGGACCCATGATGTCTATGTCTTCTACAACTCCAATGATGTCTACATCTCCCATGATGTCCATGATGGCAAGTCCCATGTCTACAATGCCTACAAATCCCATGACGCCAATGGCTGCAAATCCCATGATGACTATGCCGTCTTCTAATGCCATGTCATCAATGACTGCAAATCCTATGGTGTCAATGATGGCGAATCCCATGACGTCGATGACTACCAATCCCGCAATGTCTATGACGAATCCCATGGCAGGGAGTTTGGCAATGTCACCATCCATGATGTCATCTTCCTCCAGCCCAATGACGGAAGCTTTAATGATGTCACCCATGCCGATGTCAAGCCCAATGCCGAGCTCCGTATCAAGTAATATGATGGGTGTTGATTTCCTCACACCAAGTGCGCGAAGAGCTTTGAAAAAATATAGTTATTACAAATATTACTAAGTTGTCTTTAGAAATTTAAAAAAAGGTAGTAGTTATGTGTAATTGTGTGTATGAGTAAAAAGTATGGATGATAAAATATTCTTTTGCATTTTCTGAATATCTAAAAATAAAACTCTGAATTTTTTTTTTGTTGTGATTTATTACAATGATGTCAGCAAAGTTTTGAGCAGTTGAGGCAGTTACTCACAAAGCGACTGAAAAGCAAGCTAAAAACTTGGGATGACAATTTGCAACCGGTTAACCGATTACTCGGTCGGAACGATGGTAATCGGTTAGAAAATCTGTAATCGGTTAGTCGGAAAAAATAAAATATATGTGAATTTGAACGCAATTTTCTTACAATTCATTTTTAAAAATGAAACTTCTACATAAACGTTGATAATTTACCGTTTTCACATATTTATTTAAGCTGATTTGGAGGTAATTATTGTTCTCCTGATTGAGATCGCGGGATAATTGGTCAGTTGTGAAGTGTTAATTACTATACAAACAACATGTCGTTACCCCGACTGTCCTGTAATTCTTCAATGATGTTAAATAAATCACCGTTGAGCACTGTGAATCATTATGTCTATCTTTTGCAGTTATATCTATCAAATTATATTATTAGTCAAACATTGTATATTAAGTGAAAGTTCAGACTTATAGTTTTGATTATGGCGACCATGCAGAATGTGTGACATCTTCTCTAAAAAATTATCACGTCTAATTTCTCAGGCATGTTTCATGGTTTTCTTAATTTTTTTCTATCTATTGAAATTGAAATAAAATATATGTACATGTAGTTTCCTGATCAAGATAAACAGATTGTTTCTAACATCTTACTATGAGTAGAGCTACTTGAAAAAAAAATGTCAAGAAAATGTGTATTTTGATACGATTAACCGGTTAATCGGTCGGAACGTCTTTTGGTTAACCGATTAACAATTCTGTAATCGATTGCCATCCCTACTAAAAACAGAAAAAAGGATTTAATTTTTGTACATTGGATCACATGTGGATGACTTCTTATTTTAAAATATTATTCAAGTCAAAAAGCCCCTTCCAGCTTTGAAACAAACTTTTCATCATTGCAAAATATGTAGCAGCTCATTTCCATTGTCATTCCATTCATGAAGTAAGGCACCTTTAGACACTGAACATGCATCATTTAATGAATAGAATGACAATAGAAATACTTAGTAAGCAGATGCACGTTTTGCAATGTAAAACGTTTGTTTAAAGAAAGCTGGTACAGAATCGAGAAATTAAATTGATTAATAATGTAATGTAATAATAGTAACCCCAAAGTATTATTGTTATATTGGAATCAGTGATAAACACAGCTTTTCAAAGAAAATAAATAAATAAATAAAAATCACACTAATCTACAAAATAATGTCTTTTCAACTGAGAGGAAAAGGAGGTTGATTTCCTACTTGATCTTTCCATTGAAAAAACACAAAATAGATATTGATGATTTTTAGTATAAAGCAACATGAAACAACTGGAGAATTTGGAGCAAGACAAAAATGACTTAATATATTTGAAAATAAGAAAAATGGCTTCAGCTATGTAAAGCGATGTTTTTGCATTAGATATAAACTTTGATATTTAAAAAACAGTATATTAATGCAGTATATATATATATATATATATATATATATATATATATATATATATATATATATATATATATATATATATATATTGTAATCTCTTTCCTTTACACCTTATTTTCGATTTCAACATTTTGTGAATAACATTATCATTCTTTATGAAATTTGAATAAACTTAACATTTAGCCCCATCTTATATATATATATATATATATATATATATATATATATATGACTGCCGTCATGAGAAAAGGGCCCTTATCTTTTGACGTCACAATGCCCAGAAAACAACGTCAAAGTCGAGGTATTGTAAACACGGAAGTAATTTTTGTCGACTGCGTTTTGTGAACTAAAAATAAAATTGGGTTTCCAGATGTTACAAGAAAAACATTAAATCATCTGAAATTTGATGCGGACTTTTTTAATAAATAATATAATTACACACTAGTACATGCATTTATTAATTATTCTGTTTAGGTATTTAATTGATATCACATAATTACGTAAAGTGCGACATTGAACTCATTGTTAATTACGACGATTTATAGCGATTTGTATATATGATGCATGGCTTAAGTTTTCTGAGGAATTTGCAAAGTTTAAATTTGACTCATATTAAGTAGACTAAGTCTTAATATTAAATGATATTCTGCATACACGTATATATATATATATATATATATATATATATATATATATATATATATATATATATATATATATATATATATATATATATATATATATATATATATATATATATATATATATATATATATATATATATATATATTTTCAGAGAGAGGGAGAGCAATGCACATAAATGTATACACGTCTTAATTCTAAAAAAACATCTAATGTAAAATGTACTTAGCTATTTTAATTGATCCATAATTAATAATATCGGTATGCGCAGTTACATGTAGACCAGCTCACCAGCTCAGAGTGAAGTGTCGATATCCAAATGTGTTTGAGAGAGAGGGGAGGGGGTGGGGCGCAGATCATTGTAAAGCAAAAAAAGAAATATCCTAATAAAACAGCAATCGGTAAAAGTTCAATCTAAAAAGGAGAACCTATCTGGGTTTTTTTTTTTTTTTGGGGGGGGGGGAGGGGGGATATAGTACTGGTATCTGGTATTATGGGAGATTCGAACCTCCTACTACAGCAACGAATGAGAGAGAGAGGGTAAGGGGGGCAAACGACCCCGATATAGATATTTCTTTGCTAAGTTAACAGCAAGAGAATATGCTAAGGGGAAAAACGGAAGAGGGGGATGCCACGGAAATTTTGCAAAAAATAAATTATGATTTAGAAAACATTTTGAAATGATCAAATAAATACATAAAAAAGTAGTGTCTGATAAAAATGACTATTATATCAATTTTCTTAGATTGTTCCGATTAAAGCTGACCTGAAATTGAATTGCAATACATTTAGGATATACATACAGCTAATGTGGACTTTTTCCAAAAGCATTATGATCAATGTTGAAGAAAATAACAATTACATCGACGGTGATAATAGGATTAAAAATATTTATGAAAAAGAAGAAACAGCAGATTAAACAATAGATTAAGTTGTAAAGAAATTACAAACTTGATAAATTTTGATATGGCGGCATCTTTTGAGAATAAAACACTAATAGGGAATAAGAACTAGCAACAAGTGGTTATGGGTGTCAAATTCAAATGTTAAGAAAACTTTCAAAAACATCAACCACACTAGTCGTAAGACAACAAAGACAGTGAAAAAATCTTTATTTTGATAAATATGAAAAAAAAATAACACTGGTGATGTTTCGAGCGGAAAAACGGAGGTTCAGGCAAAACTCTGATAACCATAAATGTGTTTAAATATGTTTTAAAAGGCATTTTTTTGGCTGACTGTTGCACAGGCACTTGACGTTTTTAACCTTTCTTTTCATAAATAAAAAATTCTCCATACTATAATAGTATGGAGAATTTTTTTTATTTATCAAAAGAAAGTTTAAAACGTCAAGTGCCTGTGGACTGTTGTATTCATGTACATCTGTATGTAATAAATTAGTCACGTTTCGTGTTGAAATCTTGAACGTCGAGTCTCAGGTCTGATATCTCGATACCCCGGATATCTCGACAATTTTTGAAAGTTCCGTTGATGTAGGGATACTGAAGGAAAAATATTAAAGAAGCACACACATCTTTCTGATTTTAAAGAAAAAAAATGTGTTTCTATTTCAGTCGTGTAGTAACAGGCAAAAATAAGAGTTATGCTCTTTAATTTCGAAATTCTGACAAATTGTTATTTTTGAAACAATAACTGGGAAAAAATGGTTTGTCTATTTTATCTTTAGCTTTCAAGACAAAAGCAGATACTAAGTCGATCGCCCATGAAGTTCAAGTTAGAGTGGTAGAGTTACAAACATTCAATGGGATATTGCTTAACCGAATCGCCTCATATACAAAAAAATATAAACTTGTGTGTTGGAAGTAATATTTAATTATTGTTTAAGAATATAATTTTATGTACATTTCATCGCATCAAAAATGAAAAAAATTAGGTGTCAGGTTAGCTGATGCCACAGAGGAAGATGAATAGATGATCTTAATTATGTTCAAGCAGGTCTGTAGTAAGTTTTTAAAGTTGGGGGGGGGGGCAACTTCCTCCAAAGATCTAAAAAACAAAACAAAACAAAACAAAAAACAAACAAACAAACCTATACTGACTAAAGAGTTGAGGGGGGGGGGCAACTTCCAAAAATAATCTGACAAGCAGAAAAAAGGGAAAAACTTACCTGTACAAATCCTGGAATTTACCAGTGCTCCACCTTACAACAACAAAAATAGGGGGCGGGGGGACCAGCACGTATAAGAGGAAAAATTGCCCCCCCCCCCCGCATTCTACGGACCTGTTAAGTCTCGCATGATGTTCGGTTTCAATTTCAAATAGATTTCAGTAAAATTGTAATGCAGCTGTATTTCATTTCGCTCAGAAAAGTCCATTTAATTTGTAGGTATATCAGTTTTTTTTTTTTTTTTTTTTTTTTTTTTTTTTTTTTTTTTTTAGATTAGCGGCCCTTTTAAGAAATGATGAACGATACTTGTGTTCAAGTGATACAGCAGTAGCGTCGAGGGCACAGGTGCCTCAAAATAAGAAAAAAAATGGACAGAAACATTTTTAACCGTTTTTGATTAAGTGTGATTTACTGCAAAAGGTTTGTAGTTGACAAAAAAATTAAATTTTCATGTACGGATTAAACGTTCATAATACAATCCTTTGACATCGTTATGTGCCTCTTTGTTATGTTTCTACTCCATAACTAAGACAGGCGAAGAAATTGAATTGTATAAACAGTGGAAACTTAATTATTTAATCATTTTTATTAAAGAATTAAGAAAAGCTAAATAAAAAATCCCCTTGGAA